TGATGATTGAGATCAAGAGTCTGCTACTAGGTTATGTACAACTAGCAAGTTGTAGTCTAGGATCAACGTGACAGTAGTAACGTAGACGGATGATGGTCCTCTCCGCCATCATCTATTTTCATGGTAAGGGTTATGGTAACATGATGGATGATCGAGTCTATCCTCCTTGATGAACAAATCTCTTTTTCTACCCAATAACATGGTGATGATTAAGATCAAGAGTCTGCTACTAGGTTATGTACAACTAGCAAGTTGTAGTCTAGGATCAACGTGACAGTAGTAACGTAGACGGATGATGGTCCTCTCCGCCATCATCTATTTTCATCGTAGGGTTATGGTAACATGATGGATGATCGAGTCAATCCTCCTTGATGAACAAATCTCTTTCTCTAGCCCATGTCATGGCAATGATTGAGACAAGAGTCTACTACTAGGTTATGCATCTATTTTCATCATGGATTGATTGGACTTACCTCTTGTGTATGCTTGACTAATTCTTGCATTCTGATGGATCGAGCTTCAGCACGAGCAGCTCTTTTAGCCACTAATTCTTCTTCAGCCTAAGCAAAGAATGGAATAAAAGAATAAACTCAATCAAGGCTGATTATGCCATGGTTGCATTGATAGTAGAAAAGGCCATTTGCCCTTGTCAATCACAACGTTTTCCACTTTGTCAATGATTAATGGTGACTACAAGAATCTTTAGAGTAGGAAAAGGATCGAGGAGAGACGATTAAATCTAGTTTTGCCTTCCAAATAAGAGCCGCAAGTAGATTGCCAACTGGGCCATACTACTGGTCCAGTTGGGTACGGTAGACGATCCACTTGGTGCAGTAGTCCTCGCGTTCTATGACCTATTGGCATACTGAAGGGTAGATTGTGGAGTGTGTTTTCAGGGTAGTGAGTGTGGATAGAGCGAGTAGGTTACAGTAAAACGAACGTCGCCAATCAGTGCCTCATCGACGAGACAAGGCATGACATCATTTTACTCGATATCCCATAGTCTAGTAGTCCATTGAATAAGAAATGATGTCGCCAATGACACCCAATAGAGGACAACGGGAGTGACATGACTTTTAGACAGTGCTGGATATGGACTGTAATCATGGAGTAGCAAGTAGAAAAGAAGATACCTCGAATCAAATACGACTACAACAAGACCCTTTCACTCCATCGAATTTGTGTGGTAGCACTGGGCGATCTAGTTTGGCCAAAAAAGGGTTGGAAATGCCTCCCAAAAGAAGAAACTACTCTCATGCTCAGTCAAAGTAGGCTGCAATGCCGACTGGCCCGGTCTGGTACGGTAGGCGTGGTGGCTTCCAAGACCATACCGACTGTATGTACACGAGTTGGTATCGACATCGAGAAGCTTGGAGTAAAAGCAACGTCGCTAATCGATGGATCATAGACTAGAAAAGGTATGACATCGTTTTGCTCAAGAAGGCATGACATCATTTTGCTCGATAGCCTATAGTCTAGTCGTCAACCAAGCAATCGTAAATGACGCCTAATATGGGACCAAGGCAGCGACATGACTTTTGTACACGAGTCCCACTATGGTGGAGATCGACCATAATTATGGAGTAGAGAACAAGATACTTGTAGGCCGATTGGACTAATCAAAAAGACAGCAGCATCTTTTTACTGCATAGAATCGATGTAGTAGCACTGTGCGATCTGGTTTGATCAGGAAAGGATTGTACAATGCCTCTCAAAAGAAGAAACTAGTGAGTACAAGACCTATTGCCATACTGTAGTTGGTCACGACATCGAGTAGCTGCGAGTAAAAAGAATGTCGCCAACTGATGCCAAAGAGACTAGACAACCTAGAACATCATTGTGCTCGATATCCTATAGTATCATAGTTAATGAAAGAAGAAATAATGTCGCCAATGACGTCCAATATAGGACTACGGGAGCGACATAACTTTTGTACACGAGTCCGACTATGGTGGAGATCGACCACAATTATGGAGTAGAGAACAAGATACTTGTAGGCCGATTGGACTAATCAAAAAGACAGCAACATCTTTTTACTGCATAGAATCGATGTAGTAGCACTGTGCGATCTGGTTTGATCAGGAAAGGATTGTACAATGCCTCTCAAAAGAAGAAACTAGTGAGTACAAGACCTATTGCCATACTGTAGTTGGTCACGACATCGAGTAGCTGCGAGTAAAAAGAATGTCGCCAACTGATGCCAAAGAGACTAGACAACCTAGAACATCATTGTGCTCGATATCCTATAGTATCATAGTCAATAAAACAAGAAAGGATGTCGCAAATGACGTCCAATATAGGACTACGGGAGCGACATGACTTTTGTACAGGAGGAAGGAAGCACTCGTCGAGATGGACTACAGTCATGGAGTCAAGGACTCGAAAAACAAGATAACTTTAGGCTAATAAGACTACTAAAAAAATTCAGCAACATCTTTTACTGCATAGAATCGATATAGTAGCACTGTGCGATCTAGTTTGATCAGGAAAGGATTGTACAATGCCTCTCAAAAAAAGAAACTAGTGAGTACAAAACCTATTGGCATACTGGAGTTGGTCACGACATCGTGTAGCTGCGAGTAAAAAGAATGTCGCCAACTGATGCCAAAGAGACTAGACAACCTAGAACATCATTGTGCTCGATATCCTATAGTATCATAGTCAATAAAACAAGAAAGGATGTCGCCAATGACGCCCAATACAAGGCAGCAGGAGCGACATGACTTTTGTACAGAAGGAAGGAAGCACTCGTCGAGATGGACTGCAGTCATGGAGTCAAGAATAGACTCAAGAACTCAAAAAATAAGATAACTTTAAGCTAATAGGACTACTCAAAAAATTCAGCAAAACCTTTTACTGCATCAAGTGTATGTGGCAGCACTGTGCGATCTAATTCAATTAGTAAAATGCCTCCCAAAAGAAGAAACTAATGGTGGCTTGTAGATCGCCTTTCTACTCTTGACTCAAGTGCATCGTTGGCTGGCCACTTGCAATGCAGAAATTGCTTCCTAGCTACTTCCAGCTCGCTATCAAGACTGCTAAAAGAAGGAAATGAGAGATTTCCTTCTACAGGGAATGGATGAATTGTTCTACCTCGACGCTACCGTATTCGTCAATAAAGTCCATAAGCGCCATCATGCTGCTCTCGTCTTGTCGTGACTGGCTATAGAAGTTCATAAACCGTAAGCGCCCATTTGTGTTGGATAGGTCGATGGCATATTAGCATCGCTGGGTAGCACAGCAGTTAAGCTCTAATTCAATTTTCACTTGATTCAAAGCAATGGAATGAATTTGATTCAATGGGAAAAGCCTTCAAGAACATTCAACTAGGATGAAATTTCCTTCACTCATAGTGATCAGCCCAGTGTGGTGTGCACACTCGTTAACAGTCGATGCCTGGCCAAAATATCCACACCAAATCACCAATGTAGGACTTTATGAGTCAGCAGCAAACTCAAGCTGTGACTTGTCAATACTATTTTGTTAGTGGTCAATATCCCTAAAAGGATTAGTAAAAAACTTCAACTAGAAAGGAAATTGCTTAGCCTAGCCGCTAAAACGGCTTTATTCAGACACAGCATCGATGTACACTTGCTCCCCTGGTACAGCACTGTGTGCTCAGCTGCTGCGCCTTGTGCGACCCATGCTAATGTCAAAATACGATAGAAGTCTAGCAGGAATTGCTGGAAAAATAGACTGGTAAAACAGGACTAGTTTACTTTTAAAAGATAGACCTCTAGCAAGGATTGCTGGAAAAGTGGACCGGTAAAACAGGACTAGTTTACTTTTAAAAGATTGGCCTCTAGCAAGGATTGCTGAAAAAATGGGCAGGTAAAACAAAACTAGTTTACTTTTAAAAGACAGGCCTCTAGCAAGGATTGCTGGAAAAATGGGCAGGTAAAACAAGACTAGTTTACTTTTAATAGATAGGCCTCTAGCAAGGATTGCTGGAAAAATAGACTGGTAAAACAGGACTAGCTTACTTTTAAAAGACAGGCCTCCAGCAAGGATTACTGGAAAAATAGACTGGTAAAACAGGACTAGCTTACTTTTAAAAGACAGGCCTCCAGCAAGGATTGCTGGAAAAATGAGCAGGTAAAACAAGACTAGTTTACTTTGAAAACATGAATCTTTGGAAGTGATTGCTGGAAAAATTGGCAGGGTAAAGTGCGACTAGTTTACTTTTGAGAGGCTCTAGTAGACATAGCATGACTAGTTTACTTTTTACATTAAGGTTAAAAGACATACTAGCAGCAATCAGTGGAAAAGTTGGCAGATAAAACATGACTATTTACTTTGGAGAAACAGATCTGTAGCTAGCAGCAATTACTGGAAAATGGGTCAATAAGACATGACTAGTTTACTTTGAAAAGACAGACCTTTAGCGATCGCATGAAAAATGGGCAGGTAAAGGTAAAATACGGCTATGTCAAAGATAGGCCTCTAGCTAGCTGCAATGAGTGGGGAAAATTGGCTAGACTATACCATTATGCTTTGCTAAAGGCTACAGTGCCGTCTATCGCGCAAATCCAGTTAGTCATAATCATGATGGAAAACTACAGTGCTACCCTAATCTCCAATGTGCACGCAGGATAGTATAGCGGTGGCAAGGTGTGTAGTTTACTTGTAACACAAGATAGATCAAGGCGATTTCATTTCTCAGTTATCTTCAGACGCTGTCATTATCCACTGTTAGTAAATTGCATGGAGAAGGTTAATTGTAAGAACGAGCTCGAGCATACAGTATTGTAGAATAATCCGATTTCACACTCTTCTAATCCATCCAACTTCTATAAACAATGTCCAAGGTGCAGTTTATTTAACTCCTTCTGTACACACAGTCATGACACTACAGGACATGGATTGAGTTCTATTAATGTCGATGATAATCGAGTGCAGCAGGCATTCAAAAAAGTGCCCAAATTCAGACGTTGAGACAGCTTCAATCTTGTACTCTTTCAATCACTATTCTTGATTTTATGCTCCCATCCTACTACAGTTTATCCGTCATGTCGAGATGGTAGTAATAACCATTTCAAAGCATGAGCGGGCAATCGAATGGCAGTGCAATATTTGTTGGGCTTGGTCGAGTTATTATTGACTGACAAGAATAAACAATTTCAATATCGATGCAAAAGTGGATGGCATACCATCCATGGCAATCGATACTCTTGTCAGTCTTTTACAATTTGATCAAAGCAATCTATAAAGAAAGACATGAGTAAAGGAAGCAACACAGAGTCGACAATGCTATTTCACGCCATTTTTAGCCAACGAATCTATAGAGAGAGGCATCAGTAAAGAGACGAAGGCGTCGACAATGCTATTTTCAAGCCATTTTTGGGGGGGGGGGGGTATCTAGGAAAGAATAGAACGCGTAATGATGATGGTAAACGTGATCTTCCTCTTCAACGATAGCGATACAGTCATGGAGTTAACGTCGACATTCACAAGTCTACTTTGAATGCATGGACTATTGCCATCGGGCGAATTAACCGTTCCATTTTCCATTCTTAATCACCACAGCAACAATACAGTTGACAAGGAACTCAGCCTGTTTATCCTAAAGAGCAGTAAGAAATGCTCTCTTGATTCATGAATCCTGTCTACCGTTGTGGTTGGTTGCATCAAGTTAAGATGGACGCTAATAGCCTAGCCCTAGACAGTATGAATACTGAGTCATTGTAGAGTTTGATGTAGAAGACTTGGAGCTAAATCAAACTCACGGTGTCCATTAGCGTTTCTAGATTGGAAGTGGGAAACAACCTCCCCCCCCCCCAAAAAAAACAATCCATATTATAGAAACTTCCGCTTGACTGTCATCCTATCATAACCATGTAGACACTAGCACTACTGTCCATTAATCGACAGTAAACTCTTCTACTGTCGATGGATGGAAAAAAAAGCAGCAAAAAAAACAAGCGGTAACGTCGACGCCTATCTCCATCACTGTCTTTGTAGTGTCCAAATAACATTGAATCATAATCGCAATTGAAGACGATGAATGGAGGATATAGACAGCACGATAGACTATCGCTATGGAAGGGTAAGCAAGCAGCCATACTGTATTCCACTCTATTCAGGCTTTCTTTGCTAAACAGATCCTGTCATGCTTGACAATATCATCAATCGGACATACTACTGTCGACATGTTGTCAAGGTAGTTTTTGTCCAATAGTTAAAAAACACTCTGTTGGAGAAGACCATTGGGGGGAAAAAAACATCAAACTATCCGTCTACAAGAGTTGTTGTTGATGATAGCCTACCTTACGACTAATTTTATCTAATGCTTGATCTTCACCACTATAATTCTTGGCGGCGATCATGGATCGCTTTCTGATCAGACCAGACGATCTGCGATCACTTTTACTTGTTGTTTCATCGTGATCATCACCAGGCGTTGTCATGCTCTTGTTGGCATCATCGCTTGTATTTCCTACACTTGTATTGGTATCAGCAACTTGATTCTCGCTATCATCCATTTCTTTTCAATCCTATTTTGAATACAAATACAACTATTTTACTTTGCCTGATCATCGTATTATCGACGAAAAAGGTTCCATGCTGATGATAGATCGGCAGTCCTTTCTCATCCTTAGTCAATATTCAACTTAATCCCAACACCATCATGAAGACCAACAACACTTTTAGACTGTCCAACCTACCGTCAAGATGATGGTGGCGTCTTTCTTGCTCGCTCTACTCGTATAATACGGATTGCAAACTATCAACAGTGTTGTACAATGGTTAACGGCTTAATCTACAGGTGGATTAAGCTAATACAGCCAAGTCGAGAGGCTAATTTTCTCCAATCAACAATTTGGATGGACAACTTGGGCCTATGTCGGCAATAGTCTGGCTAGGCAGATTGGCCAAGGAGAAAATGCTAACCCACCCATCAACGTCCGTCCGTACTATATCCAGATCGACACTGCGTTGTAAGCTACCGTATGCGGAGTGCAAGTGGACGCTCAGCTTGGCTTCCATGGTAGTCGAGATACGCAAACAAGGTTTTGATGCGTATACTGCATCTATTCTAAGGCGGGGAGCAGTGGTGTTGGCTTTTGCAAGCTGTCTGCAAGTCGATGCAAGGCTTGCCACCGATGGTGGTCGAGAAATTCAAACAAGGCAAGCAATCCTATGCTGCATCCACTGCAATGCGATGCAGCGTTTTAATCTAGTGCATGTTGTGCAATTGGATGCAAGGCTTGGTAACGATTGCAAACAAGGAATTGACTTCCACACAGCATCGACTGCAATTCGATGCAACGTTGTAACCTATTGCAAGCCATCTGTAAGTTGATGCAAAGGCTTGGCACCGATTGCAATCGAGAAACGCAAAGAACGGATAGACTCCTATACTGCATCCACTGCAAAGCGATGCAGCGTTCTAACCTAGTGCATGTTGTGCAATTGGATGCAAGGCTTGGTAACGATTGCAAACAAGGAATTGACTTCCACACAGCATCGACTGCAATTCGATGCAACGTTGTAACCTATTGCAAGCCATCTGTAAGTTGATGCAAAGGCTTGGCACCGATTGCAATCGAGAAACGCAAAGAACGGATAGACTACTATACTGCATCCACTGCAATGCGATGCAGCGTTCTAACCTAGTGCATGTTGTGCAATTGGATGCAAGGCTTGGTAACGATTGCAAACAAGGAATTGACTTCCACACAGCATCGACTGCAATTCGATGCAACGTTGTAACCTACTGCAAGCCATCTGTAAGTTGATGCAAAGGCTTGGCACCGATTGCAATCGAGAAACGCAAAGAACGGATAGACTCCTATACTGCATCCACTGCAATGCGATGCAGCGTTCTAACCTAGTGCATGTTGTGCAATTGGATGCAAGGCTTGGTAACGATTGCAAACAAGGAATTGACTTCCACACAGCATCGACTGCAATTCGATGCAACGTTGTAACCTACTGCAAGCCATCTGTAAGTTGATGCAAAGGCTTGGCACCGATTGCAATCGAGAAACGCAAAGAACGGATAGACTCCTATACTGCATCCACTGCAATGCGATGCAGCGTTTTAATATAGTGCATGTTGTGCAATTGGATGCAAGGCTTGGTAACGATTGCAAACAAGGAATTGACTTCCACACAGCATCGACTGCAATTCGATCCAACGTTGTAACCTACTGCAAGCCATCTGTAAGTTGATGCAAAGGCTTGGCACCGATTGCAATCGAGAAACGCAAATAACGGATAGGCTCCTATACTGCATCCACTGCAATGCGATGCAGCGTTCTAATCTACTGCATGTTGTGCAATTGGATGCAAGGCCTGGTAACGATTGCAAACAAGGAATTGACTCCCAATTCGACACAGCGTTGTAAGGTAGTTATAACCTACTGCAAGCTATCTGTCACTTGTAACCTACTGCATGTTATGCAATTGGATAGAAGGCCTCGTAACGATTGCAAGCAACGGATTGACTCCCATACTGCATGTACTGCAATTCGACGCAGCGTTGTAACCTACTTGTAACCTACTGCAAACTATCCACAAGTTGACACAAGGCTTAGCACCGATAGTAGTCGAGAAACGCAAACAAGGATTGACTCCTCTCTTGCATCTACTGCAATATGCGACACAGCGTTGCAACTTAATGCGTACTGTCAACCATCTGATGCAGGGCCTCGTACTAATTAATTCTAGTCGAAAAATGCAAACTAGGGATTGACTGCCATGCTGCATCTACTGTACTGTATATCGACACAGGGTAACAAGGAATCGTACAATCGCCAATAGATAGTGTAATAATCTACCAGTATTCTCAATACATTCTCCACTAAAATATTTCTCCCCACGAATACTACCTACAATATATACAAAATGACTGGTTGCTATTGGAAAGAAATGATTTTTATTTAAGATAGAATGAAACAATATCAACATAATTTTGTTTCTTTAAGGTCGTAAGATAATTTCCATATCGTTTGACAACAACTTATAATGCTCCATCAACTATAGCAAACCTTCATAGTACATCTCTTATCAATCGCGTACTACAGTACAATACAATTAATATTAGACTAAAAATGCCAATTCATCAGCTAAAATGCTTGACATTTTACATGATAAAGTGAGTTAATGGTACTCTGTACATTTATACATTAGTCATGTTCATGGGAAAATGTCATCAATATACTTACTCATCTAGTAGTAGTATTATACGACTGACAACAGTAACTAACAGTAGCTGACTGTAATTCATAAAAAAAAATAATATCATTTAAATACTAAATTAAGTGTCGGATAAATTCTTTGGAAAGAAATCTTAAACGTGGTACTTTCCATGTGGAAATGATTGATAAACATACCTTTTAGCTAAGGTAAGATTTATAATATACAACTACTTTTTTAAAAGCGTTGCTCAAGCATAGCATTGTTCATACTAGTCAAACTAAAATCTACCCGGGTATGTCGTCTCTATATTACTGTACATACAAACTACAGACGAGCATAACCGTAGTCTAGTAAAACCATAGTGTCCCAATCTTATTACATACATTTAATAAAAGATTACACTATAGGGTAAAACACAGTAGCCCTTTCTAGTAGCTCTATGAAAGGATATGGATACATTCGAAAAGAATAACCACAATCCAATTACTGCATTACAATTAGCACTTGTACGCGTATGCTGCTCCAGCAACATCGGTACTTTCAATCTCGCATCGTTGCATTGAATTACAACCGTCACAATCGTGTAATATATGATTTCCAGCTACATTAGCGGCAGCACATTTGAGATTTTCAAATAATACATCCAGTTCTTCTAAATACTCTTTAGTCCATTCAAGAGTATCAGGCTCGTTAAAAACGCTTTTTATCTTCTGTAGAACATGGAATATAATACGACATTAAATTATTATCATTATCACCAGTCGAAATCTTGACTACAGTAACGTCGACAGAGATTTGACGCCAACATGACACTACAACTCCTTTATAACTGTATACATAAATAATCCAACAATTTACTACCATAGTGTATGCGTTAATGAGATAGACACGTCTATCATTAACCAAAAGTAATAATTAATCTCACCTTGAATAGATCTCGAATAGCGCTATTGAGTATATCCGATCTAAAAAATAAAAACAGAAAATAATAGTATGAAAGGATAGTTCAATTCCAATACGTGATGTTACATCCATTCAACATACACCAATCAATACTAAATTACCAAAGGTATAAAGGATCAAGTAATATGCACAATTTTACTAATGACAACTTTCACTAGACCATAGATATTATATTACTACCACTCTTAAGTAATTTCTTACTTTGATTCTAACATTCTAGTATCCTCTCTGCCACTAGCGATCTTCACCAAATCTTCAACACTTGAGTTTACATGAAAGCATTAAAAGACAATTTTAACCAAGACAGGATTGAATAAAACTATAACCGTCCGACATAAGATATTTATGCCTTCCTATGGCTACAATTATACTGTTCAAATGAAACGCCGGCACCATTTAGCCAGTAGAAAATGCAAAATTTAAAGTTTGTATAGCATCTATGGTAGGCACTAAAAAATAGTATAGACCAATAGCTTACCAGCTGTCAACTCTTTTGCACAATCGCACCACGTCTTTAACAAATTCACGCGAACGAAGTTGGATAACATCAGCCATGACAGTAGAGACTAACTTCTCAGTTAAATCGTGACATGTCTACATGTAATGATAATAATCAGCAAAGAATCTCAAGTAAATCATATGCTGTACTAGTTTTTTGTCTACAGTAGTAACATATCATGTCCAGCTAGTACCCTACCTTTAAGATTTTCACGCAGATAGGAGTTAAAACCCTGTGTAAATACAACGAAACGAATTAGTCTATTTTACAGCATCCTTCAATAGAGACTGTATAATTTTGAATGTGTTCTATATTAGTAACAGTCTTATTTTACATCATACGTATACAGTGCTATAGCAATAAAGTTTAATAACAACATGATTAACTTCAATTCACGTAAAAAGGCAAGAATCTTAACAAAGATTCATTATCTTTACTGATGGCTATATTCAACTGTACTGATAGCATTGATTTTTTTCAGTATCATCTTTGTTTAATGTTACATCGCACTAGTAGTAGTAGTAGTAGCCTTAACGCAGTACTGTCCTTGTAATCAAGCGAATGCAATAGAGTTCAGTTATCTTGCTAATTGCTAATGGTAACATTCAATTCTATTGATATGATCGGCTCTTAAGAGCTGTCTTCCTTCACTTTTATAATATACTAGCAGCAGCTTTGTTATGTACTAAATATTAGACAAGTTCAATAGCACCATATAGCACAGTCTATTCGTATTAAAGGGCAATATTATCGCAATTTCTTATAATAATACAGCAAATATAATAAGACTCATTTATCTTTGCTAATGGTAATCTTCAATTTTACTGACGTCATCGACTTTAACATTATCTTCGTTCACTGTTATACTATATTAGTAGTAGTTTTATTATACAAAAGATATCAGTAATATTCAATAGCACTATCAAAAGGCAATATGATTGCAATTTCTTGTAATAAAGCAAATGCAGTAGCCCTCATTTATCTTTGCTGATCGGCAATACTCCATTCTACAGAGGCCATTGATTTTCTAACATTATCTGTACTTATAACATACTAAGCTAGCTATAGAATGCACTAGAAACTCTTTACCATTACTTGTCTGAAGCTACTAGTAAAATATAGTATGATTATTCAACAACCATGAAAAATACATCTTCATGTAGCTATAGGATTGTAGAGGGATACCTTACAGATGTATACTATAATATAGCTACTAGTACTGTTCGGTAAGAAATGATATGACAATTGGAGTAATTTTGGAGGAAAGTTTTTTAACGCAAAGTGATATGATTGTCTTTCTACTGCTTTAGTATCTGCTACCATAAACATACCTTGACGTCTCACAGAGGCCGTTATCATTTAGTTCATCGTCGTCAAAATCAGGCTGTAAATGATTGTATAAAACACATTATTACTTTGCTAGAAAGTATTTCATTTCATTACTTTCATAGTATTTGTGTAGTTTAATAATGACTAAGATAACTCGACTAGTTTTCAACTTGCGCAGCAAATTCCAAATGAATATCGATTGTTATTTAAAGTAATTGTAAGACTCTAGAAATCACGAATAAACATAACACAACCTATAGTAATTGTTGATATGATGCTTGATAAAAGTACAATCATTTTATCGTATATTGCTTTAACGTTACTAGATAGCTTTCTATCCAATATTAAAAAACTAAAAAACTGATATTATAGCCATAAGGTAGATATTTGAGAATAAAGTATTATGTAGAGCTACTTATCCGAAAGAGTAATAAATAGTTACAAAACGTAAACACTCTCAACGAGCGCAGTCATCCTTTCTTGGGAGTGGGTTCGAATGAACATCGATAGTAATTTAATATAGTTTAATGACTTTAGTAGAGATCTCTTGTAATATAATCCAACGTAAAGTCTCTACTGCCTGATAAAAGTATCGTTATTTAATTGCTTTATCTTGTGTTCATTAAAATTGCTAGACAGATTACTATGAAACATGAAAAGGCTTGAAATAAAACATGTAGTTGTATAATAGATATTTCAGTCCGAAGAATGGTCCATAGTTACATAGCTCAAAAAAGCTGATTGTAAAATACAGTAAAACCATAATACCTTCTGGAATAGCCTGACTGCAAACGTAACTGATTCCTTCTCAAGTAAACCATATGACATACGACAAGTAAAATTGTATTTATTAGCGCTAAAAACCTTATCGTAATACAAACCTGATAGACATCAACTTGTCGTGAATTGGGTAAAATATGGCTGTTCGTATCATCACTATTTCGAAAGTAGGAACCAGGAGTAAAATCATCACTGTAAATAGAATACCATTACACCAGTGATAAGTTAGTAAGCGATACTTTAACGTTTAGCTATTACATAGATAATGTATATCTGTAAAAGTCATGCATCGCATATTGATTACTGTATACTGTATTTGGCCCTTTTTTTTTAAGTTGTAGTATGGTAGGGCTTTACTTATTCTATTTCAATAGGGATTGGGCTATCTTGTTGTCGCGATGCTATCGCACATACCGCGGTCAATTTCAACAACAGATTCGTAACGACATTGGACGTTTATTTTGGCCTTTTTATATTACGGTTTTCATGAATTACAATTAGCAGAATGGTGTGGTGATAATTTTACTTCTTTACAGCGAGTAAAATGGCCACTTTTACATCATTACTACTGGGTATTTGTGTATTTATTCAATTTCTTATTAACTTAACGTCAGTAATTAACCCGTTAGCAAATGTTGAATACATATTCAACAATAGACAACTATCGTAAACTAAGCAAGCACTATTGAGTCTGATCTATATCAATTTAGTGATAGGTTGTCCTTTTAAGAGTAAACTAGTGCATGACTCAACCCATCAAGTGTTCATCTATCCAGCCAGTTTGCAATGTTCTATTTTGATTCCTTCGCTGGCGTATTTTAAAATACGTCTTGATCTATTAGTAGACTACCTTGGTGGGACAGTCAGTGGAGAGTTGATTGATGAATTGATGTAAAAGGAGTCATCTAGTCTAGACACATGCTTTAGCGAAAAGAAATTGGCTAGTATCACCATGCAAGTTTCCTTCCAATCCGCTACCTTCACTAGCTCGATCACTCTACTATTGAAATCGATATACAGGAAAAGTACAACAAGAAGCCCTAAATCCCTATTGCCTAAGCATGCAAGCACTGACAAAAAAAAACCCAAAAACTCTCTACTACGTGATCGATTCAACCCGATCGAAAACAATAACAATAAAGCTGTTCAAGAAGACGTTGAGTACTTGAAGCGAGATTAGAGTCGTTGGAAACGATTCCCTTGACCTATTTCAATTTCTTTCTCTTACTCTAAACTAAGCTGATGGCTATTGATTTGTTGACATCATTGAAATGGAGATGTATTACCTTAGTTTTAAGTTCTCCGTTAAATCGACCTTTCGGCAATATCGATGTCGACATACTGCAACAAGCGCGATCGCGGCCACCACAAACAGGAGAGAAAGTAAAACGATCGGAATGGCGATCAAAGTATCAATCATCGTTCTATTGCATGAGCACCGTATGTGTGCAACCTCTCTCTATGAATCAAAAGCAAATTTAGCAAGCTGTTTTTCCTGTCCTTGAAACAAATCGTTGACTTTAACCAAGAAGACTCAGAACGCGTTGCAAAAGCCGCTGAGTAATGCCGATTGATTTTCCTCCTATTAATTAATTTATTTACGGCACAGTACAGTCCTGGATTATTTTGGGGGGGGATTTTTTTTTTCCGCTGTCTGGTGTCCGTCTGCGTGGATGTCTGTAGACGGTACGCCTGGCGTCCGGTTCAAGCAAGCTGGCTACCAACAGTGCCGAGTGTACCGTTTCAGTCTGCTGATACAGTAAAATGACCAGGAAAAAACAGTCGGCATCCTATTTTGGCGGAGCGTCGTCGTCCTCTTGCGTGGACCTGGATTAGCCATGGAACTGCTCGAAATTCGCATTTCCAGTAGCTCTTGTCTGGACTAAATATCATCGTAGTCCTCAATAATGTCTTCCTCTCTCTTTGGATATGGAGTAGTTATGGACCAACGACTGCTCGAAATTCGCATTTCCAGTAGCTCTTGTCTGGACTAAATATCATCGTAGTCCTCAATAATGTCTTCCTCTCTCTTTGGATATGGAGTAGTTATGGACCAACGACTGCTCGAAATTCGGATTTCCAGTAGTTCTTGTCTGGACTAAATATCATCGTTGTCCTCAATAATGTCTTCCTCTCTCTTTGGATATAGAGTAGTTATGGACCAACGACTGCTCGAAATTCGGATTTCCAGTAGCTCTTGTGTGGACTAAATATCATCGTAGTACTCAATAATGTCTTCCTCTCTCTTTGGATATGGAGTAGTTATGGACCAACGACTGCTCGAAATTCGAATTTCCAGTAGTTCTTGTCTGGACTAAATATCATCGTTGTCCTCAATAATGTCTTCCTCTCTCTTTGGATATGGAGTAGTTATGGACCAACGACTGCTCGAAATTCGAATTTCCAGTAGTTCTTGTCTGGACTAAATATCATCGTTGTCCTCAATAATGTCTTCCTCTCTCTTTGGATATAGAGTAGTTATGGACCAACGACTGCTCGAAATTCGCATTTCCAGTACCTCTTGTGTGGACTAAATATCATCGTAGTCCTCAATAATGTCTTCCTCTCTCTTTGGATATGGAGTAGTTATGGACCAATGACTGCTCGAAATTCGGATTTCCAGTAGTTCTTGTCTGGACTAACTATCATCGTTGTCCTCAATAATGTCTTCCTCTCTCTTTGGATATGGAGTAGTTATGGACCAACGACTGCTCGAAATTCGCATTTCCAATAGCTCTTGTCTGGACTAACTATCATCGTAGTCCTCAACAATGTTGTCCTCTCTCTTTGAACCTTGAGTATTCATCAACCAAGGACTAACTATCATAGTAGTCCTCAATAACATCGATGCTAATAGGCAGGGACTAGCAAAAATGAAAGAAACGCGAAATACGGATTTCGAGTAGCCCTTGCATGGACTAATTATCATAGTAGTCCTCAACAATGTTGTCCTCTCTCTTTGGATATGGAGTAGTCATCAACCATGGACTAACTATGATAGTAGTCCTCAATAACATCGATGCTAATAGGCAGGGACTACCATAAATGAAAGAAACGCGACTGCCAACGCCTGCTGGCTATACTAATAATGTGTTCCAATCTGTCGATACAGTAAAATAACCAGGTAAAAATAGTCGTCGGCATCTCATTTTAGCAGAGCTCAGTAGTTTCCCGTCGTCCTTGCTTTTGTACCAACATGGACCTTGAGTAGCAAATGCATTGCATTGTCGGCAAATATGGCAATCCGAATCCAACCTGACCCGATCTAAATATGGATCCATTAGTATCCTAGTACGGTAGTGCTAAATAACATCGCCGCTACAAGCAGAGATTAGTAAAATGAAAGAAACAGGACTGCTAACGGTTGCTGATGATACTCATAGTGTGCAGGCTGATTATTTTATTGGCCATTTCAACTGAATCGTATACCCTGTAATAACGGCACACTCTATTGTCCGTGATTGATATCCAAATTAGCTGCTAGGTTGTTGATTTTGTGCAGCATGTAGTACGGTTTCGTTGATACCGTATAATAGTAGAACAAGCGGAAAAAGGATAAATCTTTGCATTCTTTTGCACTGACGGCCGTTGCAAGTCCCATTTCTTTCCTTCTGCTACAGGTTACGGCACCAGTCAGATGTAGCCAACTTGATCCGTAAACTTAAGCATTCCCTTCAATTGAACGTGTTGCTATCTAGTGTATTTAATTAGAATCAGCCGCAATAATGGGCTTATAAAGCAGGGTGCTCTATCAGTATGCAATAGAGAAAGAAGATTTTACAAGAGTCGATACCAACTTCAAGGCAGAGGTTTGGATTGCCTCGATGCTAGGTAGAATGCACCCTTGCAAAGTCGTATCGATCTAAATCTACCGTCGATTGCAGTTCCGGTGCTAAATCCTCAATTATTGAGGTCTCCATTGGGTAAAGTAGATAGCTGTAAAAACAACCTCTGTACTACTAATAATAAAGCATTTACATCATGAGAACGTTTATTTTGACGTATTTTAAACTGAAAGCAGATGATATCGACTTGAGCAATGTCGTACAGCTTATTCTCAATATAGTAGAATGGATACGCACCTATGCCAATGCCCTAGATCGGCGAGCATTATTGCGTATTCTTTTTTTCTATTTTACGGAAGTTGCCACAACTTCTATTGCTTGACTACTCTATCTAATTATTTATTGCATGATATCTTTTCCTTCTCCGAGTATGACAACTTGGTATACAGTTTTTGCAATTTTGGAGAACAGATGCGGCCAATCAGATTACTATCCAACTGAAATTACTCATAAATGACCATCTACAGCTGTAGTACTGCATAAATGGCTCTGTAATAAATTTAATATCATGACATCGCTAAAGTACGTCACAAGAAACAGTATGGGTCCTTGGTGAAATGATGCTAATGGCGATAGGTATCTTGATTTAACATACGCCGGCATAATAATATCAATAAATACGCGTACAGTAATATTTATGTTGTCGTGTAGATCGTCTTATGGCGACTACTGTTGAAGATCAATTACACACTACACCATAATATATCAATGTAATGGAACAGATTTTAATTTGATACTGTTCTGCTGGAAATATCTTATAAAGCAATCATACTGTCCGTCATTAAAAACTGCCTGACTGCGCCCTCGCTTAAGAAAAGAAATAACCAATGTTCAAATTTCATTCATCGATTGCGATCACGGCAATACCCATTCTCTCTCTATCTATAATAACGTATCATTGAATAGTCAATCCAAACAAGATACAGTAGCCTACAACATTGTTCATACGCTTTGGTCTTTAATATAATCGCTACTCTATGTAAAAAATAGCTATATCGAATAAAAAGTCAAAACAATAAAAAAATCGAGATTTCTGTACTGATGAGCATAATCAAAGTAAAAGTAAGATATGTCATCGCTAGTCAAATTTGAGTTTCGTTTAAACGTTCTACACATGGTTAATGCCCATTAGAATAATAAAAAAGTATAGCATATCCTATAACTAATATAATTAATTCCTCAATCTTAGCTAAGACTATACAATGTACAGTTTATAACACTAATGAGTGTAACGCAACATGAGCTACAGATGGTTACAGTATCAAAGTATTTAAAAGATTGCATTCATGCTCAAAATATGTAAACAATCTTAATTCTAAATAAGCGTAATGTCGAATCGATAAGCAATTTCAACAAAGACATGTTCAAAGAAACTAGAATAGATTTTCTACGAAATATTGTGGAAGACATTATGATCGCAGCGTTGTACAGTATATTGATAGGCCAGCTGAAGGTCGTCGAATTATGGTAATTGTATTAATCTCTTTCCACACTAATTCTGCAAGCGTTGAAGAACAACATGTAAAAAAGCTGTAAATAATAAAGTAGAGAATCAAATTTACAACTCCTAAAGCCTATGCTGTCTAAATTTTAATATTCATTACTACTGCTAGCACAATAAATCAATCCTTTGACCAAGGTGAAAAGTGTTGAAATGCAATCTTCAACAACGGTGGCTCCAGTAACCCTTAGAAAACTCCAGGATTATACGTGGGTGGTTTCGGTGGTGATGATTTGAATGAACGATTAACAAGTAAATATCCTGCCAAAAAGCCTACAATGATAACCAGGATAGCCATGGTATTTCCCATTCTCGGTGCTAATCCAATGTCAGAATAGTTTTGACTACAAAGATTAAATCAACAACATTACACGTGTTAATTGTCATCCAAGCGATTTTCTTCCATTTTTCCATTTTCTATCATTAATATCAACATCTACAAAACCTACACTATACATTGTTCATTGTAAATACTAATGTTAATGACGTCGGGAGACATTATTATCAACACCAATACAACAAATTGAAAATCTGAAATTATCAGCTGACTTACTAAAATAGCACTAAATGGTCAAAAGCACCAGTTGAAACGGAAACCAATGAAGTTAAATAAGCCGCGGCGCCAAAGAAGCGATGGAAAGGTAAGAATTGTTTGCGTTTAGCTTGGGATACCATTGATTCCGGCAGCAGGAAATAAATAACGCCAAAGACATACTGAATCATGCAAATACAAGTATTTAAAGATAGTATGCTAAAAAAAAAGTATGTGCAAGTACAATATCGCGATACTGTTTTTCAGACAAAGCGAGTACTATCTACACGACGCTTAAATTGTGCTTCTACATTATGATAATTGTCGAGACATCAGTTGTGCAAACTCATAGGAAAGCCAGTACTGCATCAATAGTGCAGCGGGCATACACATATTTGCAAATCCGGGATATTTTTCAATTTTATCTTGGCATGACAAATTTGCAGCACCGTATCAATACGTCAGCACTGACTTTTCTACATGCAAAGCAGTTATTGACAGTGTCCCTAGTCATACAGTAAATTCCAGCTAGAATAGGTCTTGTCCTTAATACCATAAGCACTAGCGATGACGATATTTCCCCAAGCTGTGCATATAAGTATAGTATGTACAAGCGTAAAATAGCTATTTGTGTTGTTGCATAACTTTGAAAAGCATCTTGAATTAGGATGAGTAATAATCCAGCTGGTCAAAAACATATTATACAGGTACAGTAGATGCATTTTCTTGATGATTCACTCTAGTACGAGATCATAAATTGAATTTAAACTAATGTACTACAATCAATAAATACCTGCACAAGATAGCAAGCCAAGACCAACAGGCCTATCCAACTATGAGTTGTAAAAAAATTGGCAAGAGGCTTCTTTCGGTCATTCTTGAAGGAAATCACCGCTACTAGAGCGACTATTGAAAACACTAACGTCAAGGTATGTAAAAGTACGTGACCATATTTGACCCATTTCCTCTCCATATTGCGAAACATACGAAATATAAGGACCGCTAAATTCAAAAGACAACAAGAGAATTTCATGACCATACTAGGAGTAGAAAAAATTCTGATAAATAACTATGTTGGGCATCATACAGTAACATACTACCTGAGTAATTCAAATTAGCAAAGTCATGCTTTTCATTAATTGATAGTGTGATGAGGTAACGATTAGAGTATCAGACATGACACCTGCAAGGCTGTCAACTCTGCAAAAAGTAGGTCGAAAAGCCATTGAAATGAAAATGTTCCATTGCAGAGTCGATAGTTTGCATTTGCAGGTAGCAGGCCTAACGTTCTGATCATTGAAATACCAATTTGGAATGAGTCTACCCTATAATACATCTGTATTTATTAGACTAGCTATCGACACCTCCGATAATAATAATATTAATCTACTGTACTGACTATCCGTTCTTGCAGGCATCAAGTCTAATGCTCTTGTTATTAGGCTTTGGACACAGCCAACGGTAAGCATGACTTTAGTCGATTTTGTATCAATCCACCTGTTGGCACATGCATCCAATTTGAAGTCTTGGTCATTGGATTGATTAACGATACATGCAATTCAAATGTTTCGATCATTGGACCATGATAATAGCAACTTGAAATCATAATCTTAGCTCATTTAAAACAATCCACCGTCTAATCGATGTGTCTTGATGGGCTTTCTACTCATCGACACATTGATCTCTGTGCTGAATGATATGGACTACTAAAAGTTCCACGGGGAACAGTTAGTAGTCCATGGATAAACAATAGAAATCGACTTGGTTATCAAACAATTAGCTAGCCAGCTAGCTACAGTAGTCCACTTCAATTGCATGCATCAACTAGAAATCCACTGGAATATACTTGCCTTCAGTGGACAGGAACAGGTATCCCATCGTCATAAATAAGGGATGGAATTTGGATCGGCTTGTCAGGTTATGCCATTCAAAACCAGGGTGTGAGAAATAACTACTCATCCATACACCAAGAATGATCATAATGGTGATGAGAAGGCATTGAATGATTGTGAATGTGATCTTAAATGACCTCGATTGAGGAGCTTGACCACGAATATCAATATCATTATTATTATTATAACCAGATCCTTCCTGGATCGGTGTGCGATCATCGAAATCTTTCTCCATCGCAAGCGGCAGCAATAATCTCTATCGTGGTGGAGGTTGGGCTCAGCGGTGCAACCCTCCAGACTAATAACAGACTTATATCACAGTTAGCAGGTCCAAAGGCGAAGAATTGGGGAGGTCCGACGTCAGTAGTATATCACTCTCAAGTCTCGAGACAGTCAGCAGGCCCCAGGGGTCACTATCACCATGACGATGCAAAAGTTGAATTTTTGTTGGGTACATTGTGTACTATATAATATACAAGAGTAGAAATGGCCGAGGGTATTGACAGATTGCATCGCTCTCTTTCAGTGATCATTTGACGTTAAGGATTGAAAATTGCATATCACCTAGCTCATTTTCATCGGAATTCATACCCATACTCAGTGTAGGATTATGCAAGCATGATGAGAGGAATATCCATAAAAATAGTCATCCAATTGGTTTGTCAATATCAAGTTGTGAATATCCAATGAGCGAACAGTTTAATGGCATTGATGCGTTGATGTAATACTGTACTATCGAGCATACCAAGACTCTCATGCCTTCGATATTGTCCTGATTACAGTTGTAAGCTTTAAAGCATCATCCCCTCGCCTATCTGGCGTATTCCTACTCCTCCTCTATCATCCCGTTATCGTCCTTATTGCAGTCGTAAGCTTTATCCTGAACTCCCAAAATATCACCCCCTCACCTATCTGGCATATTCCTACTTGTACATCCTGTTCTCCATTATCTGTTTTGTCGGTATTCCATGGTAGACACATATTGTGATCATCATAGCACTCTGTACCGTAGTAACATTTGCCATGGCATCGTCCTTATACAAATCCTACCACTTGAAACCATCACCCTTCCTTTTTCCCCCCTCATTAACCTCCAATCTCTCGCCTCAAAAATACCGAAAAATGGATGCAATTTGGCACCATTTTAGGGCTTCTTGGTGGTCACTTTATTGTTGCTCATCACCCCAGGAATGGCCAGTGCACTTTTCCGTAGAATCACATGATCGTCACGCTGTTGACGCTTTTTCTTGAAAGGCATCAAACCGGCCAAAGTGTGCAAAAACAATGTCAGTAGTCGATGTGTGTATCCTATGGCTTCCAGTAGGAAATGATCGCTACAATGGTGACATCATTTTAGGTACATTTAGCGTATACTGAGTGGCAGTACAATACCATCGTTGTGTCAATAATACAATACGTGTACTGTACACGTAAACCATTGACTAGCAAATCCTTTTAACCAGCTAAACTGTGCAAAAATAATGTCAGCACTCGATCTGTGTCCTATGGCTTCCAGTAGGAAATGATCGCCACAAAGGTGACATCATTTTAGGTTTCGACTCCACTTTCCTGGACTGTATACTTAGCGTATACTGAGTGACAGTACAACACCATCATTGTGTAAATAGCTCAATACAAGCACAGTAGACTCCAACCTTTGACCAGCAAATCCTTTTAAATTTGAATCTCTGCCAGTTCTCCTTTTTGTGGAGAGTTGACATTCAGTTTGTTGAGTAAAAGGTCGCCAAATTACCAATTAATATGGATAAAGATGACGAATATACAGTGACGCCATCGCAGCGACAATCTGCGCCATTTTTCTTGAGTGGTTTTCTTGCTCAATCATGTGTGGTTGCGATATGTGTTATGATTGGGTTATGGATGGGAGTTTATAGCAGTCATCCTGGTCTCGATTGGACTGATACCTTTCATCGTTTACATCTCCATCCATTCCTAATGGTAGTTGCGGTTGTATTTTCTGCTACTGAGGGTATGCAACTAGTTGAAACAGAAATAAACATTTTGTATAACCATAGTCGGATCAACTGTAATCGATACTGCTTGCAACTGGTTGGATATCTTGTCAAAGTAGAAAAGTGACTACTTCATTACACAGTGGAATCGGAATGATTGGTTTTGGACAAACCAATCATGTTCATTGACTTTTCCATTCTATCCATGACGACGAAGCAGTAGGCAATGATTGATGTATCTTATGGATTGAAAATTGCCTAGTGTCCATTTATACGTGCATAGTATGAATAGTCAATATTATATCAAAGTCTATAAAATCTGTAGGAGTCGGATAGGACTGTTGATCCTGATACTCTTCAACAGTTTCGCTTTCAGTACTGTAAAGTATAGTGGTGACTTTGCAAGTAAACCCACGCTTCCATCAGATAATCGATGCTATTACAAATGCCGTCCTTAAATCGATAGTAATTACTCTAATTGCCTACTATTATACGGTAAAATTGTTCATGTAGACAGTTTACAGACATCGAGAAATAGGTCAGTTAGAAAAAAAAGTTGGAGATACGATCATCGCAAATGCTACAAGATACTCCTTCCAGCGATACAATTGCTTCCTAGCAAAATTCTTCATGATATCACATCGAGAACAACAGGGCCTACAAGTGTACAATGAGTTAATCACCGTAGCAAATAAAACATGATCACGACTACCATACTCTACTACTGCTCTAGCACCGGCTGCACTGGCCCATTTAAATAACTCACTATACCGGCCTGTTTACAACTGACTGTCTATTGCATAAGTCAATTAATAAATACGTCGCTTATTATCATCAATTTCATCTTTTAGCTATCTTAATCTTCCGGATGCTGCGTACGATTTCCAAGCCGACGGTAAAAGCGATCCATGTTTTCCTGCATACGGCCACCCTAGCTTTGGTTGGAACTGCCTTGGCAGCAGTGATTAAATCGAAGAACGACTTGAAATTTACTCATTTTTATAGCGCTCATAGTTGGTTTGCCTTAATAGTTCTCTTCTTATACGCCAGTGAGGTATACCGTTTGTCCGATATTGATATCAACCTGTTCAATCACAATACTTGACGTTGAAATGAAATTTATCCCTATCAGATATAGAATTGTATCGTATGCGTAAAGTAGAGTACTGTAGCTAGAATACTGAATGATTTGCCCAGACAGAAATAAAATTTTAGCATTCATTTTGGCTAATATCAATATACGATGTGCTATCGGATAGCTGTAAATAAGTAACATGATATAGACACTGTAGGATGCGAATTTAATAAAGCATTCATACTAATGTGTATCCATTTCACTATTTACCTGTGTATAGTATGTAGCAGGAATTATAGTTTTCGTACTACCAACGCGCTGCATCTCAGACACCATGCGTCAGAATATTCTACCCTTTCACAAATTCTTTGGTCTTTGTACATATGTCTTCGCTCTCATTACCATCGGTATGGGTGTATTTGATTTCTTGGAATCAATTGTTGGGTAAGGATGTTGATAGATTGATTCATGAAGTAAATAACTTGTTTTGACCATTACTAAGATGGTTTACTTAAAGTTGAAATAAGTTGGAAGGAACATCAACACTTATCTGATCGAAATTATTCTCATTTTATTCAATAGTACCTCCGCTTATTCAAATTTGGGTCTTCAAGCAAGGCTTGGCAATGCAATATGTGTCATCCTACTTATTCTTGGCGCCACCGTCGTCCATATCTTGACCAGAAGTACCTATGCACGACCTAGCACGAGTGATTCTCTTTTTGAGCCAGAACCACTTTAAAAACTGACAGTATTGCAGCGACTGTTCATGCCACAATTCACCAACCAACCAACCTAAGGCTTCTATGAATGACTGCATCTCCTTTTAATCTTATGAAAGACTACTTACTCAATAAAAATGAATGATGTCGTCATTAATAAGATAACTGTTAAATCGACCACTAAAGTTTGTGTACAAGTAGCGTCTTAATAACTAAGTAATGATATAAGCGTTGTACTCCACCTAGTGCAGTTACGCCACAGTAGATCTTTTTCCATTAAATGTATTTTAATTGTGATTATCGACTGTTACTCATTGCTGTAACTGTTGAAGATAGCACATTTCGCCACCTATATCAACTAAATAGAAGCTATTCTCACTTGATTATATGGATTTAAAATATTCAACCTGTTCCTCTAATTCAATTGGTTTACCTCGTGCCTATTTGTTTTGATTAGAGTACTCCTATTCAAATAATTTAATTGACATCGCTATCGTGAATCAATCCACCCTTCTTGTCTTGGATAGAACTACGTAATATCAATGAAACACGATACTTTTGAAATGTATATGCATATACACTCTACTTAATAAATAAGTAAGAAATCACTTACTGACTACAAGATGATAAAATATCCTAATATTCTTCGATTTTACCCTTAACTTGCTACATGTTTGTGTTCATTTAATAACCCTTTATTTATCTGTCAGTAAAGTTTAGTCAAATGGAAGTCAGAATATTATACTATAGTATCCATAATGAAAAGCGTTCAAATTTGCATTGCAATTTGACAATGTTGGAATCAACACTCTACATGTCCAGCAGACAACTATATCATTCCTAATCGTCAGCAAAGTCTTGCACACTACTCATACTCGTATACTGTAGTTACGAAATTACCGCCACCTAAACTTAGCAATACGTGATAGCCAACTTAACTGCAAATGATATTTTAACTTTGTAACGAAAAATACTAAACTACAGTATCAAGTCCTGTATTGGCTTATGAAAGCTTTCACCAAATTGGGTACAAAGAATCTCTGATGGAATGTGAACGTTTACTTCTGTACTGTGAAATGTGAATAGTTTTGAGGAAACAGTGCTGCATTTACGATAAAAGTCATTTTATGGATAAATATGACACGATCTAGGGCTCTAGGAGATTACTAATAAAGATGGTAATCTATACTTGGACTTTTGTGCAACATTATAAGCTTGTCAAGTTACTTGTTGCCGAAAGGTTGCAGAATGTACATTCTGCGATACTGTTTATTCGATGTATACATTAGCCAATAGACTGAATCGGTTTTACTCATTGGAATTAGTATAGTACCGCCCGGCCAATTCATTCATGGCTTTATCATCGATATTGTAGTTAGCGCCAACCAATTATTACAGCTACCCAATAAGGCATTTATTAATATCGCTACGATGGAAGATAAATAAATTCTATAGTACAAGAGTATTTTAGAGCAGTTGAAAAACATTTTATTTTATACATGGTTGTCATTCAATCCCTGTAAATAGCATCAAGGAAGTGATTAAATGGCAAACAATTGTCAACTTGAATTCGGTTTGCATGGCGTAATATATAGTACAGGCACTGTCACTTCCTTAAAACAAGCTACACCGAAAGAATATTCGTAAAAAATTGAAAGACGAGATGTAGTCCTGACTAATCACCATCCTTATTAGCGGTTTGTCCAGAATAGAAATCGTTGAGCTATATTGCGATAGAAAGATATTGGTTGGTATATTGATGAAATTAGACCTATCAATTAGACCCATCTTTCTACAATAATTGTGCATGATTATAGAAATGTAAAATAAACTTATTATAAATTAACTTGTATAAAATAGGCGAGTGTAAAACTTACAACTTTTTGGATAATTTTAAGTCCTTGTTCATTTCCAGAGCAGTCATTGATACCGTAAGGCTCACGGATTTTCACAGACTCATCTATAGCGCAAAGTAGCTTACCTTTCCATTTTACATCAAATCTATCGGGTAACAAGACGTATACAGTAGTTACAAATAGTGCATCAAAAGTTCTATCTTGTCGCTCATGAATACGTAATGCAATGCAGCATATAGAATATCAGCTGCACCGAAAGAGTTTGACGATATTAGAGAGCCTCTATACTTACTTTTTCTTTATAGCTGCGTATACTAATGCTCCTGTTCTAGAGATACCTTCGCGATGAACTATTTTTCCTTCTTCAATAGCTTCTTGAAGCCGTTGATCGATGCCCTCAAGATTTAGTTCAGGTAAGCTTGGAGGGGATTTGTCGCAATCTTCGATGACATCTATCTCACGTAACTTTGTTAGGTTGACAATCATGACATCCCGCCATTCACGATTTTGTGATTGTTTGCATTATTAGTGTTAAGAAGAAATCTTACCATTGCGTAATCACAAGCGCGAATATTATTTTAAAATCAATAAAGTAGCATTGCTAAGTAAATGATAATGGACAAGATTGCTGCAATTAAAACGAAAACAATGTCGTCATTTCAAATAGGAGATGCACATCTTCTTCTTTCATAGTTGATGAAAGGTTTTATATCGCTCAAAGATGTTAATATGCGCACTCCCAGAATGGAATCAATCGCTAATATTTTACTTTAATTCAATATGCCGTCCATGTTGTAGTGATACTACGTACTGGTGGTTGCTAGTGCACTATCGCACTGAATGCGTATACATATTCTGTCAAGCCATTGGATTGAAGATTTCATCATCTTCGATTTAGTAAAGGTAAAGGCCTTGATTGTAGTAAGAGTCAGTCAAGTTTGAGGGCAAAGATGATTTCTGGTGTCTAGTAATACGTAGGATAAGTTGTCAGAATCCTTTTTTGTTTATTTCCTATACTGTATGATGGAGTAGATTTGGACGAAAATTATAACGCTAGATAGAATGTCAATGCGCACAAATGTGTCCTCGACAAATTATGTATGCTATCCAGGATTGTAAATGCTAACTACATGCTTTATTTATACATTGACTATACCTTGCAATTTGTTTTGTCGAGTACAATCCCAATCTTTCATTATACGAGTAAGTAATCAATGTGGATTTGGGAGGTCTACTATTTCTTTTCAGTGTACTATCCTATCTCCATAAGAGATGAAATCATAATGCATTTCCACTTTTACAGTATACCGTACTAGAGGGAAAACTTGACGAACAAGATGTCAACAACGTGTGTATCTATCAAATTCATTCACTAGCTATTTATAGTGATGCGAATGCAAGTATTCAAGAAGAGTAGTAACAGTTTCGTAGAATAGAGGCAATTCCTTTTAACAGTCCACTTCGAGAGTAGAACAAAAATCTATCGGACGGTATTGTAGGTGTCTACCCTTATGAGCTAAATAAACTGCCAACTTGTGATCAAATGAGCACTGTCTACAGTAATACTGCTTATGCTCGAGTGTCGGCTGTAGACTGTCGTTCATTTGAGTGCAGGCGGTAGGCACCTTGAGGGGATATCACGTAGAACGAATCGACGGCTATTCCATGACAAAATGACTATCGTAAAATCATCCAACAAGAATGTTTGTGGCATAACACTAGTGCGTGCAATCGTCTTCTTGACGACACTATTCCTGCCTACTCATGTTAACATGAAATCGATGGTCCATTGATGAATCCTTGACGGTACAGTGTTGTCGACAACAATATATGCCGACCTCTTCTGAATGTCCTGTATACGATTGCAAGGATGACATTGAGGAAAATTGGTGATCGTCCATGACCACTGTAATCATGTCGACATCAATACGAATCACTGTATCCAATAGAATATCGACTGCTTTAACGAGCCTTACTATCTTACCGTGTGATCGTACCTTTCAATTAGTGTACTTTAGCGTAGAATCAAGCTACTACTGTAAACGAATTGGACGTTGTTGTATGCCTCTCTCTCTCTCGATCAAGAGTTTACAGCGGCGCTGATGTCTAGACATTGTCTCGTTATAGTCGTAAAACTAGCAACATTTCAGAATGAATTACAGTCCATCGATCAACATGAGGATACTTAAGACCAGCATTTTGGTCTTTTCTTCAAAGGCGTCCACATCTCCTTGTAATTCGCTGCCTAGGCATGTTACTAATCTGACTTTATCCCCAATTCTTAGAGGCGGTATTTTTCGCATATTGAGTCCTACGGCATCGCTAGTAGAGACATCTTTTCGTGTGGAAGACGCCATTTTTTTCCCCTTTCTACCACATTACGGACTACCTACTGAGTACTGCAAACTCGCTAGTACCAACACCTTGACTGTACCATACTGAGTGTCTAGCGGTACTGATGTCCAGTACAGTACAATCCGGTCGTGAAGAATAGTACTGTAGAAAGGGACTAGGATTCAAAGCGAGCCATTGGTCTACTGAGACAATACTCTCACTCTCATACATTGCTCATTGCAATTACTCCATGGCTACGACTGTATGAAACAATGTACAGTCCACGTGTACTCGCTGGACTGTACACTGTACAGTCATGACTCGTACTGGAGTACTGTGATACAGGTAGAAGAAATCTCTATGAATCGACAACTGCCCACTCAGCCCACTTGTCATGGTCGACATGTAGTCCATCCATCCATGATGTCTGAAGAGGATGGACTGCGGTACGGCCATCGAGTATAAAGAAAAAAACTTCACGTTATGGGCTACAGCCCTGACGCAAGAGACGGGACATTTGGACAGACAGGAAACGATCTTCAGATTGGAGCTCATTGGATATCCATGGCGGACAGTATAGTATGGACAGTATATTAGTCTCTATTTTCTTTTACTTTACGGTTCTGCGCTGTGTAGTATACTGTCAGAGACGGGATAGGAAACGCTTGTTCACTATACTTAGCTGCTATTAGCTTACTAAGTTGGTTTGAACCAGTATGTGTAGATACGTTTTCATCGCTTTCGTCATCCTGTACCGTAGAGGAAGAAAACAACATGGCGTGCTGACTACAGAATGCATTACACTGGTAGTATAGATCATAAAGGGATTGAACCGCACCGAACCGAACTCAGGTTCAACTGGTACTCAGCATCAGTACGGTAGTGCACAGTGCACAGTGTACAGTACTGCACTGTAAACCGTCGTCAAAGTACTGTAGTCAAATGGTATTCAGCATCGGTAGAGGTGTCGCCTGGATACTGGTACTGGTAATCAATAGATCATAAGGGTTTTGAACCGTACCGAACCGCACTCCGGTCCAACTGGTACTCAGCATCAGGGCACAGTGCACAGTGTACAGTACTGCACTGTAAAACCGTCGTCAAAGTACTGTAGTCAAATAGTGTACAGTAGTACAGTACAGTACTGTACAGTACTCTCAGTCCGAGACCCTTATACCTGTACTGTACACTGTGTACACTGTGTACAGTACTGTACTCAGTATCGGTACAGGTGTCGCCTGGATACTGGTACTGGTAATCAATAGATCATAAAGGTTTGAACCGTACCAAACCGAACTCAGGTCCAACTAGTACTCAGCATCAGTGCACAGTGCACAGTGTACAGTACTGCACTATAAACCGTCGTCAAAGTACTGTACAGTACAGTACTGTAGTCAAATAGTGTAGTACTCAGTCGAGACCCTTGTACTGTACTCAGTATCGGTACTCAGTAGAAACCCTTATACTGTACGTGTACACAGGGTACAGGTGTCGCCTGGATATGCTGTACTGTATACAGGGTGTCTCATAAGTATTTCCCACTGTTTGAAATCATATGAAATTATAGTTTCAAGCCCTTATTAGACAAATTTGGTATCATTTGATTGGAAATAAGATGCTTTATGCGAATATGTAATTTAAATGCACATAAAATGTGTTCAAGTTACTAATACTGTAGTTCTGTACTGCATTAAAGGACGACATTACACAGTGCACAGTGTACGGTATTGCACCCCAAAATCGCAGTCAAAGTACTGTAGTCAGAGGAGGGGATGAATCACGTGCTATCTCATCGCCAACCAATCAAATCGCTCCGATCATTTTTTCGAATTTGCAACACCTCAACAGTACAACAGTAGCCTAGTGTCAAATCAATCAGCCAAAGGCAAAACTTGCTCATCTCCAGTTGAAAAGAATCATCCCAGTCGTCCAATCTCCCCTATTGATTGCTATCCTGTCGGTTGAAAGCAAGAAGAAAAGGTAAGAGACAAGTAGAGATTGAGCAAGAGTAAGGCAAATTGTTTTTTGAAAATAAGGGATAGAAATAGGAAGAAAAGTTTACATCCATTTTCAGCCATTTGGTGATACATGCAAATCTATTTCGACGCAGTTGTCATCTTTAGATTGTCTCCATCCAACTTGACAAATTCTATTCTTCACTTAACAACATACAATAGATGAAATTGTTTTCTTGACGCACTTTTTTTAAATTGGATACGCAGAACGATCAACAGTGAGAAAAGATGTCATCGCTGCTCTCCAAGTTTGATGAAATTACTCGAATATCGGCCATCCTAGCCGAAGGCAACGAAGAAGGTAAGAGGATCGACATTATCATCAACATCGATACCAACTTAGCCAACCATGATGGGATATCATCATGCCAATTTGTGACTCAATCAATTGGTTCTACACATCAATCCAATGTTATTATTCTTGCTAGTTTACGCGTAATTATGACAATTTATTGAAATTATCAAAATACAAAAATGGAAGTGGATAATAGCTTGATACACTGTTATAACAAGCATCAGACTCCAATAGCAATCAGTTGATATTATCCTTGCCACCATCCATCCATCTATATGGGGGATCCCATGAAAATATTCAACTTCAATTCCATCCTAACCAATGAATATCATTATTCTTGGATAGATTTCTATAATTTTGCTAAAAATCAAGAAGAATGTCGCGTACGATGGTTAAAAGCCGAAGGAGAAGTTGAAAATTTACAACAAGCCTATAAAATGGTCAAGGTAAATACTGACTAATCTTGATAGTAGTTCACAACGATATTAATAAACTATCCAACGTGCTAGACAAATACTATAACGATGGCAAAGACTTTATAACTAAAAAAGAAAAAAATACTGTAGCTTATCAGTACATCACTACTGTATTTTCCAGCATCAATCAAAAATTATATCGATATCGACTTTCTCCAATAATGCATTTTACCTCATGAGATAGTAAAATAGTTTTAATCGTAAAATAGATAGAGCCTACTCCAGATTTGATGGATAATGGTGTCATACAAAGACACAATAGTAATGGATAATATCTTCAGTACTATGATACTCTTATTAACGAGTAGAAACATTTTAATCATAATGATCTACGAAAATTCAAACATTACTTTACAAATGTACTATACTCTACATTAGAATTAGATGAATTTCCAATGTAAGTACTGTCTAGCATAGTTCAATCTTAAAAATTGTATAATTATTTTCATTTTATCCTACACTTGCCGTATACTTACAATCTTCATGCCTAATATCAACGATTCTACTTTTATTCATTCTTATATCTCCAATCATTTCCTTGCGACTGAAACTAATAGTCTGACCGAGAGACTTACGATATAAAGCTCAAGCACATCAGGTATACACACCTATATCCAAAATTAAACCTCCATAGACTACAATTTCTAAGCAATGACTCAATAAAATGCGCTGTTAGCGTCTACTTTTTAATGCTGTAAACCCAACCATAGTAATAACCATTGCATATCTTGAACCTGAATTACTTTGAATATATCAGTATTAAATAGTACGATAGACGACTCTAACAATCAATTTCATTATGCTGCCAATTTGCCTCAACTCATAACACTTTTTCATTTGTGCTATTTTTCTACTTTGAATAAAATACAATAGTAAAATGATATAAATTTGAATCAATTTTAACTCCATTTCTAGAAATCAGCTACAAATTGAAATGGATAGAAGAAAAGAAGCAGAGGAAGAAATTAGAAATTGGGTAAGAACCTACGCTTTGAAATTGCACCATGCAGTAGGGCGATTTTCTTCCATCGACACATAGGAACATGAATTACGACATAATTCATTTGAATAACTAACGTTGATCAGTGAAAAAGATGTCCAACCATTTGCTTCGTGACTTCATTGACATAGAACAATCATAAGACATATCACTAGTTAGAAAAATTTTCACACTGATGTTTACACGAACAGGAGATGCAGATGACCCTTATAAGAGAAATATTATGCGATCCTAAATGTACTGGCTTATTATCAGAAGAAGATCGTAGAAAAATACAAAGTCTAGGATCATCTCAACAACGTCCCAGTCCAAGGTTCTATTAAACTTAGCTTTTAAAATAGTCATAACATATGCTACAATAGAAGGAGTATTAGTCAACTGCGTATTATGACTAATTTTGGACGCTTATTCTTCTAAAAAATATAGACAAAGTGTCTCTTTCACCTCAGTCCTATCCCCTTCTGACATTAGCTTCGATAATACTATCGACGATTTGGTAACCTTTGTCTTAATATCAAATGATGATAGTTCTATTTAGCCAATACTATTATACTAAATAACGCAAACCTTCAAACTGGTTTAGGAGGCATATTCACGAAGAAGTAACAAATTCAATAAAAGAGTAAGTAAAGATTTTTATCAATCTTCCAGTACAAAATTGAAATCGCTCAATCTAATCTAAATTTATTCCTCTATTTACAGAAAGCCCCATCTGCACCACCAGAGCCGTTAGTAGAGGTAGTCATACAATTCTTTACCTTATTCATTCTCTAGAACAACAGTGATATTGCTGATTTTGCTTAAATCTAGGAACCTCCACTTAAGAAATCTTGTAGTCCAGTCCATGAAATTCAAGTAATACAACCTCTTACTTTCAATGCGTCTACATTAGTATATTGATAAAAATTTAAAATTTTTTGGACCTACTTATCAGAGTGAATCCACAAGTGCTGAATCCGATGCATTTCCTAAAGTTTCCCCCAAACCAATGCCTCGTAATCTTTCGCGACCGCCCTCTCACTGTACGTAGTAATTTCGAGCTCTACAGTCTGTACAGAATTAAACTGTTCTTATACTGATGTTTCCAACTATGCATATTGTAGCCCAAGCTCGTCCACCGGTAGATTCCTTTTTTGGGACATCTATACCAGGAGACTCTCCTGATGTTAAGCGGAGACTAGAACGTAATCCAACTAATGGATCGGTTACTTCAATTCAAAGCTTGGGGTATGTCTTTACGAATGTTTTTATTATAACAACTATCATGCCTACGCATCAAAGTACGTCATCACAAGTTGTAGTGCTATTGCATCTAAACGTGTATTTCACCAGTAATTGTTATCTTTTCCATTTCTAGAACTCCAACTTCGTCGAGACTAAATAGGGTATAATCAGTCGACGATATATGCATATTGATTTTGCGTATAAATCTGATATTGAGAGTTATGTCGCTACTGTATTACTTTTAGATCCATACATTCTGTAGTAAAACAATTTACAAGCCTGAAAACTGCACAGTGGTAAGTTTATGTTTATGCTGAGATGAAATGCTAAAGTAACTTCTGCTTCCCAATAAGCAAAGTGCTATTTACTAACATCTAATGTTACATAATTAGTGCTCTAAAAGGATAAAATTTGGAAAAGTTGTCTTTAAATGTAAAGACTGCAAAGCAATAGCCCATCCCGATTGTAAAGATAGTGTCCCACTGCCTTGCGTTCCAGTTGCAAACACGCCACAAAGATCAAATAGTAAAAAAGTAAAAATGGTAATAACTCAACTTTAGCCGCCCTTTTATGGCTGATATAGTCTAAAATAAAATTGAATCCCTATTATTTAGCTGTTAACAAGTTCCATATGTAACTCTCGATCTATCATTATTTTCGCCTGATCACTAGGAGGGTTTAATTGCAGATTTTACTCCGAGTAGCGCTCCTATGATTCCTGCCATAGTGGTTGGTTATAACCCATACTACATATCTTACCTATAGGCTTTAATACCAATACAATTGATCTATTCATATTATTATTATATGCTACCGACATTGTAGATTCATTGTATACAAGAAGTTGAACGACGTGGCCTGACCGAAGTGGGCATTTATCGAGTTCCAGGTGTTGAAAAAGCGGTCAAAGAGTTGAAGGAGAAATTTCTTCGAGGAAGAGGAGCTCCTTGCTTGGTTAGTCAAAGCATACAAGAGTAAAAGTTGTTTATTGTATATAACTATACCCTATAAAGTATACGATCAAGTTACACTTCATTCTTTTTAGGCTATCCTGATAAACATTCATCTAACAAATAATAATAACATTATTATTTTCTCAACTTTGATAAAATTAGACAAATATCCAGGACATCCATATCGTTTGTTGCGTCTTAAAAGACTTTCTCAGAAACTTGAAGGAACCTATAATTACGTTTAAACTTCATCCGGAATTTATAAAAGCTGCTGGTAAGGTCTCAACAATACTTATTCTTTTGTTGCAATAGTTAACATACGTTTTCTTATTTTCTCTAGAAATGAGCGATCCTGATCAGAATGTCCGTGCAACGTATGCAACAATTAAAAAACTTCCTCAGCCAAACCGCGACACTCTCGCTTTAGTAATGTTACACTTACAAAGGTATTAAAATAGTATAATTTATGGTCACTATGAAATCGATTCATATCTAAGTTTTATCATGACAAAATTTTGTAAATGTCAAGCGATAACTTATGGTAAATTATATAAATATGTAATATTTATGACATAGAGTTGCAGCTACACCTGAATGTAAAATGGGTACTAATAATCTAGCGCGAGTATTTGGCCCAACATTAATTGGCCACGGATCTTCTAATCCAGATCCGGTTGATATGCTTCAGGATACAAGAAATCAACCGAAGGTAACGTTTTATAATTAGATGCAAGCAATCTTACTCCCTTTTGGTACTTTATTGTAATTAGTATAACTTTTTTTTCTGTAGGTAATTGAAAGCTTGATGTCTTTGCCAAGTGAGTTTTGGAATCAGTATGTTGATATCGACGGAACTGAAAATGGCACAAGTAACACCAATACTGAACGGAATAAGACACCTCTTTCTGAGGCCAATGCACCAAAATCGAGGAGCACTACGCCAAGGACCCCACAATCCAAAGAAGGTACCATTAGAATAATTGTCTACATGGCTACAATATAATACTCGCTTGATTTCAATCACATTAACTTTATTCTATCCTATTTTAACAGCACCAGCCAGTATTTTAGGACCTGCTCATTTTACTCCCGGTCGCTCTACTGGCACTAAGAGCAAGGAAAATGTGAAGACAACACCACGCTTCGGTAGTAAAAGTAAAAGAGCCAACAAACGACCTGATGCTTTTTTCGCTTCTCCTTTCTTAAAGTGATGAGATTACTACACAAAATGACTGTTTATAGTATAATATAGATGTCCATGAAAAGATATTTTAGGTTGATATTAAATCAACATTTTGTTAGAAAGTAGAAATTATTTATATCCAGTATAAATATAAAAATTCATATTTATTATTAAGATTAATTAGAACTCTCATATTACGCTAAGAAATTTTTTGTATAGTTTCTTATATTTACCGAAACCAGCTACTATAGTACATTAACAAGCGGTTTCAACTATAGTAGATGGTTGTATTAATCCCTAGTTTTAATATCAATGCTAACTGGGATTATCCTCGTACAAATAAAATAAATAACTCTGTAATGTGCACTACCTTAATATACGTTCTCATATATTTACTTTTATTAAAGTAGGCTAAACCCGTGAGAATATCCGCTATCGTGTAGGTTTTCTCTCACGGTCCAATAGTAATTAGTAAATCTATTGGTCTTGGTGTTATGATTACTTAGTTATTACGTCACCAAAAATAATAATGCATTAACTCTAAATTTATGTCATGTAAATATATCACTAAATTGTACTGTAAAGGTTTTCGTTTAGCCTACAGTCAATAAAAATCTTTATTAATTGATTTACAATCAAAATGGGGAAATAATTTATTATTACTATTAGATTGACAATTATTCCAGATTTTATATATTGCGTATGCTAGCACCAGCTCTACGATCAATGCTAAATCATTCACCGCATTAATGCTTGCTTAGCATAATCACATAACATCATACCTTGTTTGCCGCAGTCACAAGACTATAACCTTTCTTGTAGTACAAATTTGTATTTCTGAAATAATTCGAATTTAGGAACATACAGTAACAGTTATTGTCTCGTAATTTTTGGTGATAAAATTCTTTGTATTTAAAAATCTACAAGTACGCTAGAGGAAGTAGCTGTTTGATATTGCGCGTATTCGAATGATTTTATTGCATTATCGCTTGATATGATCTTTATACAAAGCATCTACGAGTTAACCAAGTAAAACCGCATATTTTCTATTTCTACAAAATTTTTAATCCTGGTAGATCCATTTACTGAGTTAATTACAAGGCCATAAACACATTCCCCATTCATACATTCTCTACAAAGTGGTTGTTACTTCGCCCGATCGGATGGCATCGTAATATTTATCAATGGCCTTTTGCATTTCAGATTTCTGTAATGCTTTCAGGAAGACATCTAATGTACCTGATTTTCCCTTACTGCAAGACCAGGTCAAAAAAAGTTTATAATACTGATTATAACTGCCACGCTCATCGTGACTAATATCGTCAGTATCTTGCTCCTTTAGCTTAAGTTTATTTGCCACTTTCTTAAAATCGTTTCTCTGAAGCCGAGAAGCGAAAAAATCGAATGTTTGACGTAGGTTATCTCCTGGAAAAAAAATATGATATAAGTTTATGTAAACGGTAATTTAACGATTTATATAAGCATATGCAGTATTAACTGGATAATTAAGTATATTACCATTGCGAACAATTAGAAAAATCAAGAGTGTAATTATATTTATCTTTGGATTGATACGCTTATTACTGTACAAGCAGAAATTACTCAGGTATAGCTTAAGCGCTCACGTAGTTTGCTAGTTAATTGAGAATGAGTGTATAAATATAGCCATGTCCTCTACTGTACTGTACAATCTTTTGGATGAAATAGTAAAAGCATAAAATGGAGTACCTTGCATGCTAGGGTAATACAGTATAGTATAAATTTCTGAACCTTGTATTGACAGAGCTTTCCTATAATCATATCTATTAGTCAAATGTTTCACTCGTGATATTTTACGTACTTGTATACCAAATATAACACATGTATCTCAGCACATAATGCATGCTATGTATATTATAATTCTGCATATACATGAATGTATAGTAACTGCTTCCATAAATTAATCCTAAATCGCCTGCCTACTATCCATAACTGCATACTGCAATAGGTAACTATATATGTTTTTTTTAATATAGAAATATATACGTATATCAATGGGATGAATTAAATTATACTGCATTTTTACCCCATCTAGCGAGATCTTGCTCAGATAAGGCATTATTACTTAAATCTGTATCCTTGTTTTCATCTGGTCTGGCTGTATTTTTATCGACATTGATATCTTTCTTTATCTCTTCCCCAATATGTCGACAATTACATGAAGGTTGAGTAATGATTTTTAAAAAGACGTGGAATTGATTAACCGTTTTACTGAAAAGTAAATTTAACAGTTTGAAATTGGCATCAGAATCGATCTGCAATTGCGACAAATTATTAGTAATATTTCGCAATTCCTCCAGAGATAAAACACCTTCGTTGAATAATTCCGAAGCAACTTGCTTAGTTTGTAAATTATCTTTTAGTGATGTGAAATTTTTCCTTAAAGCCTCAAATTCCTTTTGATCATCTTTTAAAGGAGATTCACCATCGGCCATGATGATTGCTAACGTGGCATGCGAATAGAAAGTTCTAGAGCAAGAGTGCTACTACGCGTCTAAACGCTATGACTTTGTATAGCTAGGACACTGCCTGGTCGATCTCCGACCACCCAACACGTTGCCATGCAACGTTAGAGCTTGCTTGTGAACAGTAGTGCGTTTAAGGCGTACGATTCTAGTCTGCCGGCACAGTAAAATGGCCAGCAATCATAGTCAGCCATAGAATTATCGAATCTGTCTTTTCTTTTTATTTTAGTAGTTCTTGCTTTTAGTAGTCCCTGGTCACTAATACTCATATTTAGAGATTTTTACAAGAAAATGATACAGTACGATGCAACTGTATAGCACAGTGAGGCAGCTGGATTGCGGTTACTTTCGGTACTGTGCAAAGATATTGGCTCCAGCCCTCTAAGCGCAATATCGTTTTTAAGAACGATTTGTATATATATACAACAGGTAAAATGAGGTCTGTTTCCATCCCTAGTGCAGCCTACTGACTGGCTAGCAAAAAAGAAGCAGGGTCGACAAATAGAATCCTGTCTCGCACTCTCGTTGCACTGCAGGGGTGCAGGTCTACCACCACCTTACTAGTGCATTGCACGAGCAATAGGCAATTCTGAAGATCGATCCATCTTCCCTGTCTGTGTACACCCCATTTGCAATCAAAAATATAAAAAAAAAAAAACCTTCCTATCTTCCATCCCTTCCGATATTTTCTGTAGCAAACATCAATATCCATTCTGTTCAGTTCGAGCTGTACTACAATTATTTTCGATAGCCTTAAGAGATTGCTAGTCCCCCAAAAGAGGTGTGGCTTTTAGCGAGTCGTCAAGATTGAAACTATGCGCAGTCTCATAGCCCCTTTTCCTAATTCGAAAATCGACAAGTTGTCGCCCCCCTTTAACATCTTCTCCCACCTTTGCAAGCCTACCATCCCTGTTTTTCTTCACCAATTTGGCTGCTTCAACTTGTTTTACTCAAGCCGACAAGTAAGCTGTAGGTAAGTGTAGAAAAATGCTGCTTGTAATGGTTATTGATTGTGTAGAGAGTACTTGAAAGTTGATCAGTAAAGAGTAAGTACGCTTGTATCTTACGTCTTGTGATTAATTGCAGGCAGCTTTGAATTAATTGATCACACGGAGAATTGCAACTATCTGAAATGGCTGAAGAAAGACAATCTACCGAGTCGAAAGCACTACAATGGAACGCCAATGATGAAACGTTAACTGCATTCTTAGATCGATTGCAAGTAGAATTAGATGATCGAGAAATTATCGATAATCAACAGTGTGTCTCCTGTTTAATTCGAGCACTTCCACCTCTGATACGAAATGGACTGAAAGCCATGTCCAATGATCAAGACGTAACACAGCAAGATTACCAACAAGTTGTTGAAGAAATCAAGCAGCAATGCCTACCTCAAGCGCAACCCTCTAAAACGGTGTGGTGGCATCGAGCACAACTCTATCAACGAAAGCAAAGATCCAAAGAATCGATTGAACAATATAAAAATGTGCTATTAACGCTTGCCAAACACTGCCAGCTCCATTATCATCAAGATATGATGTTGACCATGGTATTTATAGCTGGCTTAAGAGAAAGATCCATTCGACGTCGTCTTCTCGATTACCAACAAGAACTCAACTTTATCAAAGTAGTCGATTATGCTTTAGAAATTAAAGCAGAAAAATCAGCCGTGGAGACTACACAAGATAATACGCGTATCAATCATGACAGTGATCATCATGATGACCATGCTGAAGTCGATGATAACAGTAAAAATCCAAGAAGAAATCGAAGGAGAGAAAAAAGACCACAGCAAGCGCGAAATACCTATCATGAATCCAAAAAGTCTTGCTATCGTTGTGGAAGTTTCGCTCATCTAGCTGCAAGTTGTACCTATAGAAGACTATATTGCGACTGGTGTGGAAAGAAAGGCCATATAGTTCGTGAATGTTATGAAAAAATGGACTATGATGACGATTATAACTATTATGATTAAAAATAATAATAGGAACCGATCGATAGTCACTCCAATAGAGTTATCCTAGTAATGATAAACATATTAACCAACATGACTTAGCCTCGGTTATAACAGTATTTAGGAAACGGATATATCTGCTTCTATTTATTGTAACCCATTAATATGCAACTTATCCTATCTTTACTATTTTCAATTAATCAATCGCAAATTGCACTACATCGTTATAGATATAGTCCATTTGTAATTGAAAAATTATGTTGAAATTGTTCTCTTATTGATGTTATTCGTATCATGGCTTTCCAGTCGCGAGCCATAGGTATTTCTACCTTATTTATTCTCAACATCCAATTTGTTACTGTCAGGCCTTTATTATCAAAATCAACTAGTATAGAAGCTAATTCTTATGTTAGTTGTGTTGTACCATGTTGATGACAAAGAATATGTCTACCACTTCATGTGCAATGTACTGTATATTTTGTATAATCTTCGTGGATTAAATGATATTTAAGTAATAAAAACTTGTATGTCAACTCTTCGTCTATAACACAGTTATAATCCTTATGTTGTCTCTTATTTCATGTTTAAGCAATGTGGCTGTTGACTATCTTTTCCATGTCCACTACATGAAAATCCTGTCCTTTTCGATAACGCTACCTTGTTAGTTAATCCTTCCCTTTATCATCGATAGCAGATAAATTTACCTTACCAATGACTACACGATATTTTGTAAGTATCTCATCGAAAAACATCCAGGTACCTTGAATAACAAATTTTTATTTGATCAGTAGCTACTTTTGCATGTCGAAGTAAAGAGTTGCTATAGTATACTTTAGCATTGAACTACTGGCTATCAAGCAATGTAGCTATTAACTACTTTCTCCTTTGCCTACTGCGTTGAATCCTTTTCTTTCCATGCTTCTATTCTTTATTGGATAATCCTATTCTCCTTACGATCTATAAATACGTATATCAGACAACTACCTCCTGAGAATTAAATAGGATGTCTACAAATGATGTGGACGGTATTTTGCAAGCATCTCATCGATATACATCTTGATACTTTTACGATAGCAAACTTTATATTTATCAAAGTATAAAATCCACTTGTACACCATAATGTGCGAAGCGAGAGTTTCCACAGTGTATCTTAATGCAGAAGTACACAATGACGATGATTTACAGGAATTATCGTATGTAGAATAATTCATACTTTCATGACAAGAAGATAATTTGGACAGACTAATGTGATAATTAATCTATACTACGTATATTCCATGATACTTTTTTAATACAGAAAATAGTTGTTCAGTTTACTGTAGTACCGATACTTTAAACCCATCTATTTACTGTTAGTCCTTTACTGCATTCTTAAACATTAATCATATTTGATATATATAGGTTATATATCAAACATACGAGTACCTGGTAAATCGATAATGACTAATAAGTGTGGTAGTAGCGTTAGCATAATGGATTAGTTACCAGAGTCAATAAAACAGATCAAAGCAATACGCTGCCAAATTAAAAAAGACTATCTTGCCTACTTACTATACAACTGTAAGCTATACAATGCAAGCAATAATTCTTGGCTATAAACTAGTAAAGTAAGAAAGGCAATAAAAAGTATTAAGCTATTTCCACTAAAATTGTATCAAATACCGTACCGGATAAAAATTATAATGACGGATCACGAGTATGATGGAATTCATTCCGTAAGGACGTCAGTTGTCATAATATAGAACAGCAACAGCAATATTTTTGTAATATAGTTTCTTTCCTTGATGGGAATAAAGGTGCTTCTTCCCCTATGTATTATAAAAAAAAATATAATTGATAATTAATATAACTTCATAGGGCAAGGATAATATAAACTACCCATTCAATTAGTTGCTACAGCAATAAACAATTAATCATTGATTTATGTATGAATCTATAAATAGATAGCATAATGATATCTGACAAAATTTTTACATGTACGCGTATATTAACACTAATTATGTTCTAGGATTTAATTTACCATTCTAGTTATATGAATAGAATCACATATCAATACCTGATATTAAGTCTGAGGAATTTGGAAGCTGAATTTGAGCTGTTTGTAACGGCAGTCGAGACTTATTCTTATTTGTATCTACATGTAACAAATTGAAAGACATAATTAGTATTATTAGAATTGCTAACGGCTACTGCATAACTTATAACTTTATAAAGCACACCAAGAGGCAGCGCATAGATAGAGTTTTGCGTTTGAATAAATAATCAGGACTAACATAAAAATTTAAGTGATGGAATTGAACAAAGTATTTTATGTTAGAACTACTACATGATATGTAACTCCATAGATCTTATCAAAAGTAAGTTCAAAAGTAGAATTTTGAGATTGAACAAGATCATCAGGACTACTAGCTGTGGTAGTATATTTTACCTGACTTCATAACTATCAAGTTACGGATTATACATTTATATAGAAAAAATCAGCATAAAAATCCAAATGATGATGGTGTTGGTGAAGATGGTTTACAACTATCAGCGCTAATAGCACTCTATAAAAGCCATTTGTATCATTATTGTGAAATGCCTAAGGAGTCTACGTCTGTAGACTCTTCGAACCCTCCATCACACTATTAAAACACTAAATTTCTAGCTCATCGTACCAGTTATAAAACCAGAATTAAATTCTTCACCTAATTGCGCGCCATCGAAATTATCATCTACGTGAGGAATAATTATAATTAATTCATTATTGGAGATGTAAACACCAATTTACGATTAGGAATAGAAATTATTTGCCAGCACTATATAATTAGTAATTTCTATTGCCTGGTAATCGCATCACTTCAAGTTTATCCTAGTTAAGTAATTCAGACAGCAATTTAGTTACCGTACCATGATTATTAATTGATAGATCCCGTTGTTTAAGATTATTTATTTCTTCCATCCGTTGAGATAGATCATAAGCCATAGATCGCTTATCTTGTAGTAATCTGTTATTTTCAGCTACAATTATTTAGAGGAAGGAATATACTATAACAATTAACTTTACTTTTCGTTACTGGGAAATTTTAATAGAATTGTTCCAGATTATGATATAATTGATATATTTCATTGTTGATTCTTGTAGAGTCTTATTTAATCATCATACCTTGTAGGATTTCAATTTTGTTATTTAATTGCAAAACTATAGTAGAATTGGACGAATCTTCTTTATCAGATTTGTTACTGGTTTCGAATTTTTTAATAAACGCACTAACTGCCGGTTTTTCTTCTGCTGTTTCTGCAATAAAATTGATCGGTACGATTTGAAATAGATCTATTTCGTAATAAGCCTATGACGAGAAAATGTGTCGCCTTTTAGTCAATAAACAATTCCTATAGCAACCTGATGACTTGCTTGTAGACATAGATGGCTTTCCATCCTCGCTATGTGAAGCATTACTATCTGTACGCTTTCTTGTCTCATCCTTCTTGTCTTTCGCTTCAGTAATTACATTCATATCCGCTAATTATGGTGAGAAAATTATAAAAATTAGTTGATATACATTAGCTTTACATCGCAATAGTCTAAATCTATACAGTATCCAACTCAGTAATTTAAACTAACACATTAAGTTTTGAACTCTTTCTTGTAAGAGCAAAATCTTTTGATGTTTGGCCGTTGATTTTTTTGCAGGCGATCCCAACTCAATTGTTCCGCTTGTTAAATCATCTATATATATAAATAAATTAATGTTGGTCATAACTGGTTATCCTTAGTATTTCAATTTTAAATTAAAGAGACTATCACGATGGAAATTAATCGCTTGCAATAATAGATAGGAATAGCTTATGCCTAAGTTCCCGGAAATTTACTAAATTCGGCATTTTACAATATGATAAAAACCTTTGTAGATTATACAATACACTTCATGACCGCATACCTAATAATTGCCATAACTTGAATACTAGCCGTTTTATTTCTTCTTCTCGATCTAACATAATCTTTTGCGAAATTCTTTTCTCTTGATATAGTCCTTTCTGTTCCACTAAAGTAGCAAAGATAGATTACTATACTGATACATTGATGGGTAAAATAAATGAAAGCCTAAGTTGTATTAAGACAGTTTAAGCAACGATTAGGATAAATGCGATGGAATTTCTTTAGGCGTAAGTAATATAAATCAAAGTGATGCCTTATTTTGCATTAATTCAATCGAAAATCAAGCTCCAATTTATCACACATAGTAACTTGGCCACTTTGCTTTCATGTAGTTTTAACTCATTTTCTTTCTTTTCTAATTGTTCCTCCAACTGTTTCTTTTCCGAATAAATGGCATCCTTGTCAGCTAGAGATTTTATAGTCAATACAGGCACGATAAAAATGTTGAATGGAATTTCCATAAATAGACTATATTAAATGCCAAAGTAGCTTAAATAATAAGCATTAGCTCTTGAGTTATTACAAATATTAACACAAATAATATAAAGTAGTGCTATGAAACAAGAGTAAACATTTTTGATTACTCATAGCTTAAAATATGAATTTATTAATTCATTTAAGAATTGAAAATATGAATTACTGATATCACTATATCGTATGTAGTCAATTACAGCTATTATAGCACTTAAACAGGGGCAAATATTTTTAATTACGAATATTTTGAAATATGAATTTACTAATTAATTTAAGAATTGAAAATATGGATTACTGATACCACTATATCATATGTTACTAATCATAGCTATTAGGGGATAGTTACATAATGAATTACATTCGACGTTAATCCTTTTACGTTGGTTCGCTGGAGTATAACGTATTTACTGTTATTGCAAATATTTATTTTTAAGCTAGGGCATTCTTGACAGGGACATCTGAGAAGAAATTCTGAAATTTCCCCTTAAAAGTCCCTATTCTTGAGATGATCTAGCGCTAAAAGTATTAGACTTTATCAAAATGATGGCTCGTCTCTCTAGTATTTGCATAACATTATAAGGTTGGTTCTATCAGTGCTTATGATAGCAAGAATTGGAGAATGCATGCAAACGAAATTTGTTCGTTATAAGAGATAGTTTAATTGATGCAACATGATCGTAGATAGAACCGTAAATATGAATTTACCTATGGCGTTCTTTACCTGATACTCTCTCTAAGGTTTTTTGCATGAACTGCATGGGTTCATTGGAAGTGTTTGTTGGACTTCCATCATTAGACTGTTCACCTTCTGTGGAGGCTAGTTTTCCTGAATAGAGTTGATTAAAATCAATCAGAATAGTCCTTTTACCTAAGACCACTAGTAGTATTCATTTTTAAAGCGCATAACACAAATAGACGGAGTAAATTCCTTCAATTTGAATAAATCGTTATCACAGAATTCCACCTTCTATAAATATATCAAAAATAATCTATTTTGTATCCATTAGGAATAATGCACCAAGATAGATTAGTTCTATAATCTTGGTGATTAAATTGCAATTATTAAGTTTTATACAGTAGTAAGTGAAATTTTCATGCAATGGAATAGATCAGTTCTTATAACCAATAACAACAATCGAAAAATTTCTTTTAAATTATTCATCTCAATATCCAATTTATATTTCAATGTGAATTCCAACAGGATAATATTGAAATAATAGTAGTGTTACCCATGAAAGTCGAGAGATAATACTTTAATTAATTATTAATGAACGTTTTTAATGTAAATAAGCAAGTATCTATGGCCTAGTATAAAATAACGATAAAGAATTATCTCGATCATCGATACATAAGACTTTATGATATTAACTCAAGCCCTCAAAAATAGGAATAAATTCATTTAGCCTAACAGATATGAACTACTGATAAATCACTTTTACTAGTTAATGTTTAAATGTAATATCTATGTAAAGGCTAATATAACATTGTTTAATGGATCCTTAGCAATAAATGTTCTATTCTAACGACTAAAATGGTTAAGGGTTGCTACAAATTTAATACAAGATATTACATGTTGCATCAGACATTAAACTTAAAAGTAAATACTACAGACGTAATCTCAGAGTCATTATCATTCTGCATTGCTCCAAAGTTTGTACAAATAACCACTACGGTAAGCTTGGGATCGAGATGGAAAGAGAGGTACAAAATTGGATTAGTAAAAATATTAAGCTACTACGAATGTTATTGCAGCCAATCTTTTAATAGAAATCATCCTGAATACTAAACGGATGAACAGAACAGATTCTTATTGATTATAGTACGAACAGCTTTGAAGCAATTTAGAAGAAATCTACCGTTTAACCTGCAAAATTTACTCAAGATAGTATCGCCAATAAAAATAAAATCGATTTATTTGTTGATGCCGACAAGACGTTAGATAGTAGTGCGATGCTTTGGGTGACAGTGAAAGATAGGATTAAAGAAACATAGAGACGATATGAACTAAGAGAAATCTCTTACCGTAATTGCCAAACGAATCTGCTCTTCGCCTTAATTCATGAATTTCCACTTGCTTATTACCGACCTTCTTTTTTAGTGATTCATTCTCTTTCCTTAACGATTCCTTTTCGGCTAATAAAATATGAAGTTATCGATATTATTCAAGTATCATAGCAGGATTGTAAGAGAATGGTTGCGGCGATATATAATTACTGTTAAATTAATGTACATTTTAATTAGAATGGTATATATGAACGAGCATAAACTATAGTTTGGAATAAGATGAGCATGGATAACGAGGCAATCTGATGCCATTACTGATCGTAAATGAAGCTCTTGCTAAAATCTAAGAGCAGGACTAGAAGGCCTAAATCTATGCAACGATTACATTCTAATCCACTACTCGAATAACTTAGTAGAATTGACAATATCCCATTGCTAGATTATAATCATCAGCGTGAGATATTCCATTTACTAATTTCATCATCATATTACTTAATCTAATCTATTGAAGCGATCTTAATAAAAGGTGTTAGACTGTCTAGCAAGTGTAGGATGTTAGCGGATGGTGTGGATATCGGCTAATAAAGTGTTAAGTAATCGATATTCTGCAAGTATTGTAACAAGATTGAACAGATGTGAGGCTATGGTAGTACATCGATACTGTTAATATACATTGTAATTGTAATTGGATCCATGCACGAGCGAAAACTATAATTTCGAATAAGGTGAGCATGGATTCCGATGGAATCTGATGCTATTGCTAATCCTAAATGAAGACTCTTACTGAAATCTCTAGGCAGGAAAGATGACCTAAATCAATGCAACGATTGCCTTCCAATCGACTACTCCAATAACTTCAAATCTGCAAAGATAGATCAATCAACGAGTAAGATTGTCGATATCTTATTGCTCGATTAACAGCATGCGATGCTCTGTTTACTAATACTATCGGGTTATTCAATTGAATTTATTGAAGCGATGATAGCAAAAATGGAACTCAATAAAAAGCGTTGAAAGGTGTTTGTTTCTTGTTCATTTTCAATCGACTAGAAAAGTCTTTCTCATTTTACAGTCAAATTTTCATTCTTTTTGTCCTTTACAAAGTTCTGTTTACTAATTTCATCATGTTATTCAATCTAATTTATTGAAAGGATCATAGTAAGGGTAGAGCGGTCGAACAAATGTTGAATGCTATTTGTTTCTTGTTCATTTTTAATCCATTCGAAAAGTATATATGCCGCCAACTTTAAAATTTTCTATTTTACTGAGAAATTCAAATTCTTTATATTCTTTACAGAGCTGTTATCAAACTTTATACCAATATTGTCAATGGGTGCAATAAAAGAATCGATTTAAGAAGCTTTAATGATACGTATGTTGCCATTTTACGTGGTTATCGTGTCTTGCCGTATTGCTGCCGACTATCTTAATGTCGATTTATGTCTTCAAAAAATGAATTTATTTGCTATCCTTTTCTATGCCTATAAGCAAGCCATTGTGTCTCGACTTATTCAAAATTGGAAACGTGATTTAGACAAGATCAATGATATAATTTACCTTCTAAATTCCAAATTTTATCCACAAGCCTTTTGGACTCAACACCTTTGCCAGCACCTTCAGTTTCCATTTATGTGAATTCTCGAGGCTACTTACGTCTGCTGGTATGGCTAGAAATTATTCAACCCTTGGCTTTAATGATATCAATCTTCTTGATTGGCCAGTAGCAACCTATATTATAGTCGTAATAGATTGTCTATTGAATGGATATTGACTATTTGGTGTTTATGTTGACAGATACCATCTGGAGGACGTGAACCTTCAACACTAATAAATAAAAAATGTCCTTATAACTATTGTTTTCGGCTCTAATTCAATTTCTACCTTTGGATAATACTATTCTTGTCAGTAAAATTTCTTCTTGTTGACAGTATGGAAATGGGTAGCAATAATTCCTTCCTCTGCTGTACCAAAAGGTTTATATATCCAAGATTAGCAAAATCATGATGATCGATAACGCTGCAAATGGCACAGTAGCTTACAGATTGGCTGCCTTAATTAATCGTTGACTTGTTTTCAAGTTTACCGGCAGCAGCGTTCAATTCTATTGCAACAGTGTGAATTAGATATGTATGTCGATATTATTAACGAGCATCAAAAGACTCTACAGTTACGACAATAGGTTAATCTGCGGGATAGCGGCAAAATCAAGCTAATCTTTCTTCATCATAAGATCATTTCAATCATAAAGTAATTCTCGAATTGATCCATGATCATTAGCAGTACTCTGCAAGACGTTGTACTGCAATACTATCAACTATTGCACACTATCCAAGACTTTCAAGCGACTATCAAAGAGCTCATTGGCAATGGAATAACAAAGTAGGAATAAACTCACTGTCTTGGTCACAATCTCGATTCTTTCAGTTCTTATTTACGTCTTTTAGTTCGGTAGTTGTTCAATTTTGGCTTAGGCAACGATAATTCAATAGCAGAGGGGATAAATGACCTCAAAATTGTCATCGAGAATTGAGGAGAAAACCAGCGTCGAGCGACTAACTTATTGTAGGAAGCAACCTACCAATCGATGGATAGGCAAGCTTATTTATTGATATAGTGTTTATTATGGTGGATAGAGCAAGAACTTAATGACTTTTGCCTCGTAAATTGCAATTATAATAATATACGCATATACTTATTAAAAGCCGTCATTCACAGGCAGACAATTGGACAGACAAAAAGCAAAATAATATTTCTATGGATAGCAAGGTAGAAACGATAGGTTATTTCATACATGCATCCTCCAGGATTACTCCATAGGTGGATTGATTGGAAGCTTGCAATATGGATTTTAACCACGTTAATTGAGTTAGTGTTTTCCTCACTAAATGACTATTTAACAATCACACGCTGAGATGAAGATGGAAATTAGAATCGAGTTGTAGCGGCTCGTCTCTTGATTAAAATTTTGTACTTAAGCATTATGGAAAGGAAACTATTTTAAAGTTGCAAACTGAGGTCCTGTACCTATCGAAGTGAGTGTTTTATTTGGCTTTTGCCGACGACATGATAGAAGTAAAGATTTCTAAAATCAACGGAAATCGAGTTGTAGCAGCTCGTCTCTTGATTAAAATTTTGTATATAAGCATTATGGAAAGGAAGCAATTTTAAAGTTGCAAACTGAGCTACTATACCTATCGAAATGAGTATTTTATTTAGATTTTGCCGACGACATGATAGAAGTTAAAATTCCTAAAATCAACAGCTAGAAAGACTAAAATACTTTTTCAGAAAAGGAAAATATCAATGGATACTTAGGCAAGAAAATGTCTAAAATGCACCATGAAGTATTCGGCTGGCAGAGTAAAAGGGAATACTGTTTGTTGTTTACTGGCAACATTATGCAGTAGTAAACAAATGTTCCTAGAATTAGCTGATAGGCTGGCTTATATAATTCTGCCTTATACAGTAAAAGTGATTCCTTTTATCGTTTGCCGACGACATTATGTAGCAGTTAATAAATATTCCCTAGCACAGCATGATAGACGTAAGGTGTACAATTATGGGGACTTCTCACGCCTGTAAACGCTTACATTTTTGGCCTTTTATCGACAATATTATGAAATAAAGATTCCTAGAATAAGCCAATAGAATGACTGAAAAAGAAAATACTTTAATTCCTAATGAAATCTCTTTCCAATAGCTAATACTTTTGGCGTTTTCCGACGATGTTACAGTAAATAAATATTTCTAGAACAACCTGATATACACTAGGAATACAACGATAAGTGTAAACTTCTACTCCTAGAATGAATAGATCAAAGGGTATTAAAAAGACTGAAAAAGAAAATGTAGATCCTGTACATCCATTAAGCAAGGAAAGACTTAAATTACCTAATCAAGCCATTTTCTAACAGCTAATGCTGTTTAACAATCATTAACTGACAATATTATAGTAAATAACTATTTCCTAGAACCACCTGATATACGATAGGAATACAACGATAAGTGTAAACTTCTACTCCTAGAATGAAAAGGTCGAAGGGAAAAGACTGAAAAAGAAATTGTTGATCCTGTACATCCATTAAGCAAGGAAAGACTTAAAATACCTAATCAAACTTCTTTCTAACAGCTAATGCTGTTATCATTAACTGACGATATTATAGTAAATAGCTATTTCCTAGAACCACCTGATATACACTAGGAATACAATGATAAGTACGAACTGCTAGCCCTAGAATAAACCAATAGAAAGGAAAAAGATTGAAAAAGAAAATATCAATACTGTACGTCTAGATATTAAGCAAGGAAGTACTTAATATACTTAGTGAAGCTTCCATCTATAACTATAGAAGCAAATACTTTTATCCTTTACTGGCGATATTGTCATAAATAAATATCACCTAGTGCAACCCGATCCACGTCTGTTAAAGGAATACAATTTGAAGTAGGAGCTCTACTCCTATGAGCGCTAACATTTCTTTCGCCTTTTCTCGATGACATGAAATAAAAAATTCCTAGAATAAACTGATACAAAGACTGAAAAAATTTGTAAATGCGAATACATACTTTACTCAAGAAAATGTTTAAAATACCTAAAGAAGCTTCCTTTTAGTATAGTAGCAGCGAATACTTTTGTCGTTTACCGACAATACTACAGAAATGAATATTCGCTAGAACAACCTGATATACACTGGGGAGTGCAGGTAGAAGTATGAGCTTTTACTTGTAAGCGCTTATAATCTTTTACCTTTATCGATGACATCAGAGAACTGAAAATCCCTTGACATGAATCAATGTAAAGACTTCAAAAGAAAATGCCAATGCATTCGTTAAGCAAGATTTTTCAGCGGTGTATAAAAGCATCGTTGAAAGTGAGATAATAAATTTTGGAAGAATCAATCACCCAAATTATTTTATAAATGGTTTATCCATAAAATTTTAAGTACTCCTGTCTTGGCTGAATTTGACGTTCATAGTTAGATATCGCATTCTTGATTTTATTTTAAAATGGCAATACTTATACCCACCGCTCTGCTGATTTACTGCATATTGTTAATATTATAAGTTATAAATGAATCTGTATTTTATCATTTACTGCTCATGTGTGTACAGTAGGTACTTAAAAGCATAGTAGATTGTAGTAAAATGATTTGGGAAGTAATTATTGACTTATTAGAAATTGGCAACACATTTATACCTGTCCATTTGCTCATTTATATTATTTTATAAATACAATAAGTGATGAATTTATATTTTACCATTTGCTATCAATGTGTTATGGCCTTGTAAAATAGAGTAAATTGCAGTAAAATGATTGGAAGAGCAATTATAGACTCTCTTTGCAATCAAATTGCAATGAAAGAATTTGAAGAGCGATTATCGACTTATTATAAAATGTAATACATCTATACTAGCCTCTTTGCTCACTTACAATATTCATTCATGCTACAAGTTATACGTACTAATGTCAGTCTCTGCAAGTTATGAATCTACTTGTATATTTAATATATTTGTTATGCACATGGACTGGCATTATAAAGTATAGTAGATTGAAGTAAAATAATTGGAAGAGCGCTTAGGCTGTCGGTGTATTTGACCTAACTTAACCGACAGAATATAGATGATTAGATATAAATGGCATTGGATTTGCTTTCTAGCTTGTATCATAAGCCAACTAAAAAAGAAGACTCCGGCCAGGTACTCGTATATCATCGTTACCGTCGCTGTCTAAAATTAACAGTCAATATAAAGAAAACTATAGCCTTCCTATCTTTCCTATCTCTGAAATTATTCTCTCTAGTCAATTTATAATTTCAATAAATATTCTACTGCAGCTATAGCCGTACTAGAATATTATTTAGACAACCTTAAGGAATCATAACTTGAATCGGTATAGCATAGTGTATACCGACGTTTGAAATCAGGGATTGGCCGACAGTATCTGTAGTAGGATGGTAAATATGCTGTAAGGCACCGAAATCCAAACGAATTGATACATAGCACGATCTTAATTATTTTTTATTTGCCATTCTCATGCATGGTGTGCCATTCATAATTGTTATATATTAAAAATGGAGTGAAAGTTGTTTTAAATGGAGGAATTAGCTTAACGTAATACTGGTACGATTACTTGACGATAATCTTTCATTCCCCACTACGTTGAGTTAAACGATAGTAATTAAGCTACCATTGATAATTGCTATGTGTATGTTCCTTTCAAGGATTTTGATTTAGGATAGCATTGACTGCCGGTAAGAGTAGGCCAACGACGTAAAAGTGTCGAAATAGTCCTGGTTGTAGGACATCATTTCAGAGAAAATTGTTGTCTTATTTCTGTGGTACTGTAATATTGCAGAATCGAATAATGAGCTACTTAATTAAACTCCGCCTTGTTGTCTTCTCTGTCAATATTTAACAGATTTTTGCAATTAGCTTCAGTTATGAGAGATTTCGAATGGAAATACAGTCGAAATAGGGCCCCGTTGGTACATAAACATAAACTAGTCGCGGTTTACGCAATGTCCGAAGCTATCCCGACTTGCGTTATTTAGCATGATGGGACTCGTTTTACCTTGTGTTATACATTATTGTAATACAGTCCGAAAATAGCTTCAGATGGAGGTTATA